CTTCACAAAAAACGAACGTAATAACACTTAACCTCACTAGCGTTCGCTACCTAGACCACAATCTCAAACGTGTACTCCTACGGGAAACTGAAAATAACACAAACGTGGTGCCATCTACCAACTGAATTCAGTAAGTAATCTGTGGTTGTGATCCGTGACGATGAGTTACTGGTCCAGTCGCTATAGGCTCTAGTGTTGCTACATTGGGAAGTTGTATTTTGCTTCCTTGGTCACAAACGTCGGAGGCGTTGTGGTCTGGTCTCTCTGGTTCTGTCACCGAGAACTTTTTCAGAGTCGATCAGACATAGAATAGGAACCAAAGAGACTGGAAACTCAGACCACTGTTGAAACCTTACTGGTAAAAGCACGGATCATTGATTGATTGATTGATTTATTTATTTCGTCACTGTAGATCATTGTACATGATATATGACAAGTCAAGTTAATTCTGAATATTAACAATTTGATATATAAGTAGATTAAAATTACAGTAGTTACAATTTTTTACATTCTTATTTGTGGAGAATTTGATGGAATGAACATTAAATAGAGGTAGAGCGATATACTGATGCACTTTCGAATTTGAACATTAATTCGGCGTATAAACGCAGTATTATGAAAGTACATGTAACTGTACATTTTTCTTCTTCCCAATAGTGTTTTCGTACTCATTCGATAGAATTTGACCTTTTCTGGTCTATGTCTTTTTACAGAAGTTTCAGTCGGTTTATGCCTGTGAAGTACTGGAGTAAATTGTGCTAAATGAGAAGATTAGAAGCGATCTCGCGCTCAGATCAGCCGAGTAATTTTGGATTCGCTTAATCGCATTGATAATATTGATGCCCATATTCGCAGGCGTTTCTTCGGACGTCTTTCTGCGACGACCTGTTTTTACATTCTCGTACAGATCCCTACCTACTTGTGGGGATCCGTGCGCCCAACTTCAATGCCGTTCAATGCTTCCAGGTTCTTTCAGTTCTGTAGTTATGTCCCACATATTCGTAGAAGGTAATGTGTAGGGTGTGTGGGTGGGGTTCATGGTGAATGTTAGTTGTAATTTTATGCATGGTCGTCAAAGATGTTGTCACCACTGTAATTTGTTGGAAAACGATCAATGCAGGTGAGGATTCTTTGTTTAAATTTGCTGTATTAAATTTCTCCCAAAGAGGCGAGATGTTTAGAACTGATCTGTGCAAATATTCAAATTGAAAAGAGCTAATGACTTCAGATTCTTTGTAATTACAAGTATTAAATATACAAATGGTAAATGTAAATAGCTGAATGTATACATAAATGGACAGTTATTTGAACCATCCTATACAATACATTTATTATGCGTTTGGGCACGTCTTTAATATATTTCTTCTTACAGTGTTTAATTTGTCACACTCAGAAGTACACATGTTAACCATCTTGCATTTGTCTGTTCTGTGCCTATCCAATTTTATAGTCTGGGTGAATATTTCTTATTGGGGACTCTTGCATAAAAATGATTTCTGAAGTTGTGCCTTTGTACAGAAATGGCCAAGCAAACTGTGCTTGTTTGTGTGTGCAAACATCCGTGTTTTTTATTAAACTGGCAGTCTAAAAAACCCTGTGTGATGCATATATTATTTATGAAATAGATATTAAGGCAGTCTTTGAAGTTAGTGAACGTGTGTCATGTCAGTGTTAAGATACAGTTATACAAGGGAGATTTTTGCTTTGTTGACTGGGTCCTTGGCTGTGCTTCATCATGGTGACTAGTGCACCGCCACTGCAAGGCACATACAAATTTTTCTGATGAATCAGCATGCCTGACAGCTGATAACCTTTGGAATGAAGTAGTTACAATTAATAAATTACAGACGTTTGCAAATGCTGTCCCTCTACACAGATATATTTTGCAATTGAGTGTTTCATTAGATGGAGTGGGACATTGTGGGTTAGATGTGGATTTTGTGAACTCCAGTAGCGATTATTTTGCATATTTATGTATCCCTGCAAGTGAAACCACACTTCATCAGAGAAGAATGTCAGTTGCGGTTTGATCTCTTTCGATGACAGACTGTAGGGACCAACTGCAAAAATAAACCCTGCTAGCTGGATTGTATAGTTGCCAGGTTGTGTGTGTGTGGATTACTGTTATTTTATAGGGTCTAAGCTTCAACAATTGTATTGCTGTTCTTGCACTAAGACTTTGACACTCTAGTTTCTTGAGCTAGATACTTCAGTGATTTTCTAGGTGTATGTTCAAGTCTGGCCCATGTGTCATCTAATTTCTGCACAATAAGCAGTCAGCAGTTTTCTTTCTTGTCTGTCTGCTGGGAACTCTTCCATCATGAAATTTATGTCAAAATTTTCACAGACACTTTCTAGCAGATCTGTATTTCACATAGGTGTCATAAAGTGGGGTAAAGCTATTCCTGTAACAGGCCATGAAGGCCCATAAGGTTGTGAGATATCAAAGCTGCCACATTTTCTCCAGACAATTGGCTCACAGATGGTGATAAGTTTGTCAATCTTATGCACCAGCTGCCCTTTACAGCCCAGGAAGATACCTGGTACTAATTTTGGTTAGAGGCTGAGTTGACCCCAGGGCCATAGTGCGGCTGGAAGGATTAGGCAAATTGGAGAGAAAAAAATCCACATAATCAGGACTCAAACCTATGACCTTCAGGTTTGTAGCATAGTGCCCCCACATAGGTGTCTTACAGAAATAAATGTTGCTCTAAAGTATACCGCATCATGATGTGCCACACTGGACACTAACCGTAACTGAGAACAAATAGCTAATGGAGCTGATAACTGCTGCCTACTGCTGACAAATCATAAACCCCCACACATGAACCGGACTGCTCGCTGTGAAACATAATGCTGTCAAGCGGTCCACAAATGAATTTCTTCCCTTCATTCAAAATGTCATTGGCCATCAGGCAATGCTGATTCATTGGCAGAATTTGTGTGCACCTTGTGGCAAGCAGTGCACTGGTCAACACAGTTAAACTGTATTTGGGGTGTACAGATTTAGTGTTATTTTATTTTTCATTAATTTCAAGTTTATAATTATCAATTATTCAGAAAAAATAGGTTAAACAAAGGGTAAAATATATTAATGTTTTGTGTATTTTAATTCTGTAGGGTATTAGACACCACTTTTAGTTCTTATCCATCACATTTCCTTATTTTTTTCTTCAGGCTGAGGTAGAAGCTTCGAGTCCATAATGGGCAGGACAAGTGATGAGGAAGGTGAAACATCAGCAAAAACGTGCAGGTCAGATGATTCAAGTGAGAGACCTCTCAAGAAAGCCCGGTATGTATGGCAGATAAAGGGAAAATACCACTTGAAGAAACCAGAGAATGCAGAAGGAGCCAAACTCTACATTGCTGATGAAACAAGGACTGGATACACACTTCATCCTATAGAAGTGGCACACCATGAAACTATAACACAGGAACATGATGGACACACTTTAGATATAGCAAATAGTGAAGTCTCAAAACCAGATTTTGCACATGTGCTTTCTCCAGTCACATCAAAGATTCAATCACCTATGGAATCTGAGGAGCTGAATCCAAGACAGCTGCAGAAGTGGCAGGCTAGGCAGGTAGCAAGATGTTTTGTTGATAACACCATCAACCGAGTTCTTGAAGATATGGGCTTCATTCCATTACCTGTTGATGCTGATGATCTGATGGAAGACTTCACAATGTCTGGGCTTCGCAGAAATGAGGAACACTTAGAAGATGCAGCAGTGAGGATGGCAATTCATAGTCATGGACTTCAAAGGGCAGTGGCTGACATGGGGGGGGGTAACCAGAATCTTAACACTTGTGCTGTTGTGGACCCTGCTATATATGACTTCTCAATTGATGCTGTGGGTTTGCAGAATGGCTTCACTGATGATCCTATGGACCATATGAATAGATGGTATGTGCCAGAATTTTGTAACCAAAATTCTCTCCAGTCACCAGACATAAAAAATGTATATAATGATGAACTTGTACATGAAGGGTTTTCTGTTGCAAGTCAGCCCAGTGTTAGTCTGAAGTGCACAAGCAATGAACAGTTCAGTAACAGTGGTGATATGAACAAGACTTCCGATAATTTAGGAAAGGAAATAGGACCAGAACATGCTGATGTGGAAACAACAGGAATTTCAGAAGAACCACTGTTGGCAAGTGGCATGAATTTGGATAATGAAGCTGGGGAGAGAAGCTGTGCTTCATTTGAGCATACAGACTTCCTGGACAAGGCTGTTGCAGTTGCCATTCAAAAGAAGGGATTGAGCACCCTGAGTGGTGTTGAATATGGCTGAAAAAATCCAGAGAAACAACATAGCCCATAGTGCAGTTGTGGATTGCGATAGAATGGATTCAGTGTTTAATTTGTATTTCAAGTCACATGCTAGTAGTGATGAATGTCCAGTTGACATGAAATAGAACAGCGTAGTTTTTGAATGCTGTTTTTACTGTCCACAGTGGCCTGATGTAAATGTAATTATTATTATAATAATCAATAGATCATTGAAGGTTGCAATGCGAGGGCCAGATTTTATGGCCCACCCCTTACACACACATACATTGTAATAATTACAGGATATGGCGTGTATGCACTGTTTATAAATTCTGAGACACTGTCACACACTGATGTTTGTGTGTGTGTGCATCTGATTGTTTCAGTAAGTGTTATTATTATTTTTGGAGGGGGTGAGTTTCCCCATGCACTGCGACTAGTTGTTAATCTATTGTGTGTCCCCCTTTAATATTCTACCAGTCGCCATGCCCTTCCAGTACTGGTGCTTGCTATCAGCCCCGTTCTGCCAGTGAGGTCGGCCCTTTCTGGCAGTGGTCCCAATACTTCCCCATCTACCGGACGAATTGGAAACTACTTGGGCAGGAAACTTTGCCTAATTTTGCTCAGAAGTCTCCTAGAGACATGAGGATCTTTTACATGCCGTAAATCTATGACACGGGACACACGGCTGAAAGTTCCTCCCAGAGGAGAAATTTTGTAACTCTGCACAGACCAGATTTGTAAGTTAACACTGAAATATACAAAATAAGACATTTCCCTACATATAAAGCTCCATACAGAAATGGTTAGAAAGTCAGTTCTTATCTGGGCAAGGAAAAGTGGCAATCCTGGATTTTATTTTTGAGGGATGCTTAAGAAAGTCAGCTGACAAAACTGTCTTACTACAAGTATTTGCAACATTGTATTTTAGCATCCTGTTGCACTGATTCACGTCCATGATGTGTATGTATTGACCGTCTTCTAGTGCACACAATCTCACTTGTCACTTCACTACATGTTCTGGCATCACTGTGCCATCCTCAGGTGTGTTATTTACGTTAAACTATTGCACTGCTCGCCATCATGTGTCGTTTGTAAAATGATTTAAAATATTGTAGCGTGTTTGGGTGTGTCACGCTACAAATAAGTTTACGCTGTGGTATTTGATATAGCGAATTTATTCCACTCGCTCACCTTACACACCTTACAGTCTTTAGCTCTTGCAGTGTTACAATTACTGCTTACAATATCTCGGCAATACTGGACTCTCTTCTTCAGCGGTTGGATCCAGACTAACTACTTTGGCTCCTAATCCGAGACTCTCTTCTTTGGCGGTTGGATTTAGACTGTGTGAATGCATTCAACCCGTTTTATAACCTCGGTCGCTGCTATGCAAACGAACCCTCTGTTATAACCGTGGAGACTCCTGTTAGAACTACAATAGAGCGATTGTTGTTTCCTATGCAACGGTCTATTCTAGCGTTTCCATAGAAGTGACTTCTGGATTCCAGACACGTTACAATATATATTCGTCATGTACTATAATAAAATTTTGTTAATATTTATCATCTTATACGTCGTATTTCAAACTCGCGTATTATATCAATCATCTGCTATGGGAGTCGTTCTTCCTGTATTTTGTGTACACTGCATCTTGTGATGTGTCCTTCTCTTGTGGCTGCATGCATTGTATTGCTGGATGTGGCACGCAGCCACAAGAGAAGGACACATCACAAGATGCAGTGTACACAAAATACAGGAAGAACGACTCCCATAGCGGAAGATTGATATAATACGCGAGTTTGAAATACGACATATAAGATGATAAAGCTTAAAATAATTTTAATATATAAATTTTGTTATAGTACATGACGAATATACATTTTAAATCATTTTACAAATGGCACATGATGGCAAGCAGTGCAATAGTTTAACGTAAATAACACACCTGAGGATGGCACACTGATGCCAAAACATGTAGTGAAGTGACAAGTGAGACTGTGTGCACTAGAAGACGGTCAATACATACACATCATGGAAGTATTTGCAAGACTGTATCCCAGTTAAATCTCTTTTTATCTTCCTTTCCCAGATTCAAGGGAAATTTGAACCTGTAAACACTTCCTTAAAATATTCTTTGGCCACAGAGCATGAATAATTCAAGAATCATATAGACTTTCAGGCACATAAATCACTTAATACCTTCAAAATGAGCCCATTTCATAATGCTTATAATTAATAATAAGAATCATTTGCGTGGAAGGAAACAGTGCTGGGTAATAGCTACATTAAGCTTCACAGAAGACTGCTGGTAACTTGTTTGTGGAGTAGTGAGAAANCTTTTTTTGTGATAGGTTCCCATCCTTTCATGGCTTTATAACTAACCCCCCCCCCCCATAAAAATATGTCAGCTTTGGATGGTTTCATTTTAATCATGTTTGTATCTTTTTAGCCTACATTCCTAAGCAGGCTTATGCGTTGTCCTTCCTGTCTGTGCGAGCAAGGGATAGACAATTCTGTGTAGATCCCCTCCTCTCAAGACAGAAAATGAATATTATCTGTGTTGAACGTCTACATAATACATTGGATAGGGCACTAAATGTAACACGTAAAAGATTTTTGTACTCTTCTACATATTTACGTGTTTTGGAAATGGTATCTCCTCTTCGACAAGAGGGCGGCTTGGCTAAATATTGGTGTTCTGACAGTAGAGCAGCAGACCTCCTCCTCCTCCTCAGACAAAAAGACTGAATACTAGGTGTAACACCCAAAAGACAGAGGAGACGACCATTGCTAGGAAACAGCAGTAAACACATTACTGTAACTACTAGGCAACGACCTTTATGTTATTGCGTATGCATAGGCAAGCCTCATCAAAATAATTTTTGAGGTCCATAAAATGTACATTAGGACACTATTGCATAATAGTTGAGAAAACTGATGTGCTCTGGAGTTAAATTTGTTGGAAAATATATTGTCACATGTATGGGTGACAAAGTTTTACATTGGTAATTGAATTTATCAATCACTCCTTGTACATTCAGTCATAGTCACAATAAATTATAGCGCTATTGCTAATCTACCCATTTCACAAATCACTAGAATATGCTACATCTTCTCAGCCTTCATGAGTCGTGTCCTGGTAACAGCCTTACTGTAAATACAGCACACATAAACACTTCTCTTCACAGGCTGACTTCCAACTGAACTGTCAGTTATTGCTGTCTTCTCATTATATAGCTTCAGGTCAGACCACAGCATAGAAGACACAGGTTGCCTAGCAATGGATATATGCAAACCGCATAGAAAACACCTCTTGCAACACTAATTCTATTGTATTTACAGCACCATTGCATAGCAATGGAAGTTATCCGATTGTTGCCTGCATATTCATTGCCATGGGAATGTGTTCACCAAGTTGTTGCCTAGAAATGGGTCTACTCTGTTGATGGCTGCATATAGTTTTGGGACTATTTACCAAGTCATTCCCTAACAGTGGGTCTGCATGTCACAAAATGTTTATGGTATTGATTTATTGACTTCCCTATGCATACACAGAGTCTTTATAGTGAAACAAAAGTAGACAGTTATTTCTAGAACTTTTTGTTTTCATGTAAAAGATTAAGAGCCCAGACATAATTTTTTCACAAAGAAGCAAAAGACTTGGTTTTTTATGGTGTTTCAAACAGTGTTGGGTCATGAAACAAGTGTTGTCTTGTGGAAGTAATCTCCATTTCTGAACAGTAAACAGCTATTCAACTGGCCTCCTATGATGTTTACTTTAATATACCATGTAGTTTGGAATATGACTTTGTTCCAAGGAATACTAGCTACAAACATGATAGTGCAGGGGGCAATATAGACATAACAAATTTCCATATTTGTCACATATTTGTAAAAACTGCAATGTACTTTATTTTCTACATAATTATAATCTGCCCACAAAGAATTAAGGGTTGGCTAAAACAGTAAATGCTGCACTGTGAACTGGTCTATGTGTGCCACAATTTGTAGTGATTTTAAATGTACTGTATATCCAATGTGTTCTGCCCAATGAAAACTGGGTTATAAATACATATAAATGTGAAAGGCCATATTTAATTACTGTACTTTCTATTTCTTCCCCTTAGAAAATGGTGCCTAAAATCCAGGTACATAATATAGTCCAGAAATTGCAGTAACTATGAAACTTCTGTTCATGAGGAAGAAGTAACTACTGAAAGCCTCTCACAACCTGAAGGAATGTAAGAATGCTCTTTTGAAGAACAGAGACTTTACTTGATTTTCCACTGCTTGTGGCTCTGAATAGGGCTCATTATTAGTCTTCCTTCCATGCCCTGCACCACAAGGTTCTTTTTTATGCCTCTTGTCATGCAGTACTTGCCCTTTTCAGGGTCTCTGGTTCCCACTGGCCTGTCTAAGCCTCACATCCTCTTCATCCACGGCTCTGATTGGTCACTCATATTCTCTTTGACCTGTCTCTCTCTGCCGCTTCTGCATAAGCAACCACCTTCTCTACTTGGCTCATCCTATCCTGAATTAAAGATGGAGGCAGTATGTTCTTCTGAAATCTTAGTACTCACCTAGCATACTGCACGGTTTCACAATCCAGAAAACTGCAATACCTATGACTTCATGATTTATGCAGGTTACCTACTACTGTCAGGATAGCAGAATGCAGAAGACATAATGGATTGAGACAGACATGTATACATAATTTTGGCAGAGAAAGTTCTTGCAAAGAAGCGACTAAAACTGAGATGTAAAGATGAAAGCTGCACCTATCGGAAATGGGTTGTGAGGAGGCAGCTAACTCAGGTTTGTGTCCAATGGTGAGTTTTGGTAGTACACATATTGAAGTTTTGGTTTCTATTACCAGGGACTTAGTTTCAATTCAGGATTCATAATTAGAACTGTAATTATTATATTCCCTTAACACAGTAAGAGGGTTGGATGATTTCATAAAACACAAAAATCATATTACAATATGCTCCCATATGTCCAATTTTCAAGCATCTGGAGGTCTTATCCATCTGGTAAATATGAAGAAAGTTTAGTATTTTTATAGTTATTCAGAAACAAATTTATGGTGCTCATATGTTCACCCCACGATGCAGTAGTTTTTGCAGCTGCCATTTGGAGCAGTACCCATCATTTTCCCTCAAGAGTGATTCCGTTACAGCAGAGGCCAGCTGAAACTCCCACATAAGAATTAAAGTGAAAATGTGTTTTGACTTTATGTGGTGTTTCTATGGGAGTTCTTCTAATGCAATTTCTTTATTCCACGGGGTTTGGTGAAACTGAGTCCACTTGGTACATGAGCTACTAATTGGCCTACTGTATCAGCCATGGAAGACAGATGAGTATGGAGCATTTGGTGGAATGAAAACTAAAAGGGGAAACCAAAGTACTCTGAGAAAACCTACCCCAGTGCCATTTTGTACACCACAAATCCCACTTGACCTGACCCATGATCTAATCTGGGCTGCTGCTGCTGCAGTGGGAAGCTGGCGACTAACCACCTAAGCTATGGCATGGCCCAGATTCATTTTCTTAGAAGGAATTGGAAAAATTACAAAAACCCTCTATCAACAGTTTCTTTCCCAGGTGAGCAAAGACTTGCTCACAGATGGTGGCAAAATTAAACATTTCATTATATTATTTTTTCACTTCAGTTTTCTAACAGTAATAAAAAATTGAGGTGCTCTACTTATATGTGGCTAAAGAATAAACATCCTTGTATGTGAGGTTTCCTTCAAATTTAATTTTCTTGCCAAATATGGAACACAGCTCTTCAAGATCTCTATACTAGTTTGTGAGTACAGTATTACTTAGGATAAGTCCTCTAAAAAGTATATTACCAGTAGGTAGGTCTCACGTAATGTGAAGTGCTCTCTCAGTACATGAAAATTTGGATTCCATACCAGTTAGAAACAAATCTTCATGCATGTTTCCAAAACATTCCCTTTCCTTTCCTGTATGCTGGACTGTGCCGGACTTTTGGTCCACACGTAGTTACAGCAAAGGGCAACAATGCAGGACTTCTAAAGTACACTCCTCTGCCACCTGGAGTCCATGCTTGAAATCTGCATGTTTTGCCCTCACCAAATGTTACAGCAACCCAACCTAAAACAGACAGGATGTTTGCACACATACAGTAACCTCCTGGCTATCTGTTATTCAAACATCGAACTGATAACAGTTTCATAAAAAGTTACTCAAAAACAAATTGTGATGCCGGTCAGTACGTCCAGCATGCAGTAGATACAGCTGCTACTGACAGCACTACCCACTGTCCTCTCTCACACAGATGTCCTTGGTTGAATTTATGATTGTGTTACAGAATATGTATCCAAAATATTTCATCCCTCAATTCACTATGTCACACAGCAAAACTCCAACACAAGAACTAAATGAAAAACATCTTGTAAGGAATGGCTGTAATTAAAAATACATTAATTTTAATTATATACTGGGGCCAGAAGAAAGGTTCTGATATAAAGTTCAGCCAACACAGCAAACAGGTAAAAGTCAACCTGGGCTTTAATTAATTAAGCATGAAGGTATATGAGGGAGTGGAGGTATAGCTCTACCATTCTTAACCTCAGCACTATGAGTGATCAGCTACATGCCCCAGCCACTTCAACCCTGGGGAAACAATCCCCAGTATCCACCATATATGAGGCTGAGTGGACACCAGAGATTGTCTGGAAATTAGAAAGAAGAGAAAATCTCTTGGCCCTGCTGGGAATATAGTTAATAGATATGAATGGAAAATTATGCAATATAATTCCTTGACATAAAACAGGTACCAGTTAACTGGTTTGCCACTTGCTGTGTTGAAAGCAATGGATGCTCAAACATGTCATACTGAGCTGCAGAAAATACATCATAACTCTGGCACACAATGCACTTGGCACATACATGCAAAGGTTGTGTATGACTTCAATATGACTGAAACAAAAGCCAGTGTTTTGGCCTTCTGAAATTTGTACCACCCTACAAGTGTACCAAAATTTCCAGCAGTTCAAGCTGGAGGAGGACCTCTTATGTAGAAATCACAATCAAGAAGAATTCAGAGACACTGAAGCGGAACCAAACATTGGTTCATCAAGTCTTCCTAACATCTGCACATGAAGATCTGGTGCTAACCCACCAGAAATATAAAAACAGACTTGAGTGGAACGCTTAAACAATTTGAGAACAGAGACTCTCACACAGTTTTTGACGTTGCCAAGGACTACCAGTCTGAACTACAAACAACACAACAGGTAGCCTTCAGATTTTGGTTTACATTTGCCCTGTAAGAGTGACAAGGTGAGAAAGTATTGAAAAGATGATGGTCTTTTCTTTGCAAGTATACGTCTGAAACTCAGTGCATCATTATTTTACAACAATGTGGCTGCCCTACAGTGACTGAAAAGTACATGGGGGGGGGGTACTCGTATATTTTAAACACTGTTAGTAGCTGTCGAATGGTGGGATGACAGATGAATTAAAAAGGATTTTGAAGGGTATAGCTGTGGCCTGACCGGTACTATCCTGGTATTTACCTGAAGGAACTGAGGAAACTCATTACAAACTTCAGCCAGGATAACTGCTGTCCTGACTGAAATATTAAGGACCTCCCAAACATGAATCTAGAATGTTACTGTGATACGAACCTGCTCAGTGAGAAGGTTCAAGCAAGGTAGCTCAGAACACTCCTGTTCTATGACAATGATTTTTCATGCATAATAAATACTGCAACCACTTCCCTGCAAAATAAGTTCAACAGAGCTACTCACCCACTGACCTACCAGGCCTGACATAGCATCATGCAACTTGCTTTTCGGTCCAACAACAAAGGACTGACCTTGGTCAATTTTGAAACCCTGAAGGGGCCCTAAATTATATAAACAGCAGCTTGCAGTTGTGCCATAGAATTAATGTACAAGGAGCGTTCCATATATAATGTCTCATATTTTTTTAATGAAAACTACAATAGATACAGAAAGCACAATAACATAGTTAAATAGGTTACTTACAGTTATTTTTTTTTACATAATCACCACCATTCATTATGCACTTTTGTCAGTGATGAACAAAAGCCTGTATGCCGCGCTGTAAAAGCGTGCGCCAGCAGAGGCCAGCCACTTTCTTACAGCTGCAATGACAGCATCATCTGGAAAATGTTGCCCATGTAGCCCATCTTTCATAGGCCCAAAGAGATGGAAGTCTGAAGGTGCTAAATCAGGGCTACAAGGTGGATGTGGTAGGCCAGTCCAGCCAAACTTTGCAATGTGGGCGGTGGTTGCCAAACTGGTATGGGGTCTAGCGTTATCGTGTTGCAAGTGAAAGGCTGTCTGCTTCTCTGGCCTGACTTGGGAAATGCAGGCTTTCAGCTTAGTCAGCATCATCTTGTAGTATTCAGAATTGACAGTCTCACCAGGCTCCAGGAAATCCAACAAAATCACATCCCACCTATCCCAAAAGACTGTACACATCACTTTCCCTGCCGATGGCTGTGTTTTTAACTTCTTTTTTTCTTGTGGAATCCGGATGTTGCCACTCCATGGACTGTCTTTTGGATTCTGGCTCATAGTGGTGACACATCTCATCTCCGGTGACGATGCTGTCCAGAAACTTGTCACCTTCAGCCTCAAACTGGTGCAGCAGGTCCTGACACACTTCCATTCGATGAGTCTTGTGATCCTGTGTAAGCATCCGTGGGACCCACCTGGAACAAACTTTGCAATAATCCAGCTTCCCCAACATCGTTTCCAATGCATTATAGCCGATATTAAGCTGTGCACACAGTTCCCTGGTCGTTATCTGCCAATCTGTATGGATGATTGAGGCGATGTTCATTGTGAGGAGTGGCAGCTGAGCAGGGACGCACAGGGCGTTGTGTGTCGTGCACTTCACTTTCGCCATTGTTGAAACACACTACCCACCGCTTCACTGTGCTGACATCCACTGTATTGTCTCCATACACCTTTAGCAAACACTGATGGATGTCAATGGGTGCAATTTGTTCAGCAGTGAGAAACTCAACACATCTCTGTTTTGTACGCACTTCTATGTCAGATGCCATTTTGGTAGACTGCTCTGCTGTCACTATCTGTCACATGACAACCAAACTAACAGTACATTGGCGGAAAGGTTCAACCTTTACTACAACACCGCCAACATCCAGCTCAGACATTACATATTAACACAAAAAATAGGAAGCATTATATACGGAATGCCCTTCATAATAATTCCTTCCATAGGTAGTTTTGGATAATGAGACACTGCATTGGAAAAGGGAATGAATTCACTGAAAAGCGTAATTGTTGAATAAAGTTGTTAGATTACGTGTGTCAAAATATTTTCTAGTTGCCTATGCAGAGTTTTAGGAAAGAACTCCAGGCTTTGGTAATGTAATATTTATTGACACAAAGTACAGTGAACAACACAGGAAAGAAAACTGAATTATGTAACGCCTCAAGTCTGATGCATAAACAAAGAGAAATGTTAAATGCCATACATAATACTGCCCTGACTAGCACTCACTAGTTCACATATGAAAGAGGCCTCACTCAGAGTTCAGTTTGGTGCACACTGCATGAAAAGTAATAGTATCTTTTTCATGTATAACTTATGCAAGTTCTAAAGGCAGGGGTTAATGATCATCATCTCAAGTTCTGCCAAAGGTTTCTACAAAACCTGTAGATGAGCCCGACTTTTGTGCCACATATTGCGGACTGATGAGGCATCACTCACGAAGAGTGGAGTTATTGTTCACAAGCTACATCCCCTGTGGCCCCTAATGTCATCGGAATGAATTCAACACCATCCTCTATTCACAACAGCTGATACAGTTATGCACCAGATTCAAGTGACAACATAGACATCTACCTGTGTGAGTGTTAAGAGCATAAATGATGTTCTGCCAAAAACCCATTCATAAAAGACGTGAATATTCATGCTAATCAGCTAGACGTACTATGTCATTTTATCATCAAAGTGTGGAAGGATACAAGTGTAAAAAATATCATCAGGCCTTTCAAACTGTGTATATCCAGTTTAATTGACGATATGGAGGAGATTCTGCTGTGGCAAGATGAAGGGGAAACTGACGCTGAAGTCATGTCATCTGATTCAGAGTCTGATCCATATGGCGAGTCACTTACATGTATCTCAGCATGCACTTAATGAACTGATGTCAGATGCTGATGATAACACTGAAGGACCTGAATGAACCTCAGTTTAAAAAAAGGGTAGTTCATAGATGCCTTATCTGGCAAATATAGCCCCACACTTACAATATTAATTGAAAATTCAGGGGTAGTCTTATGAGGCAGTATGTACAATATATATAAAGAGGGCAGTGAGCCCCTATCTCATGAGGCCAGGTATTTATAAAATGACAGCTGATGTGTGCGTGTGTTATGAGAATAATCAGTAATTTACAGTAATTCTGAATGCATTTTAACATAAATTCTGATATACTAATTTTTTACTTACTTTCTCATACAATTAAAACTGGAGCTCAATTTTTCTCTTGCTGTTTGTGTGTAATTGTCGCCACTGAAACATGTCTCCTGAGCCACTGCATGACAACCAATCCATTGCTAGCGAACATAGGGGGGGATACACATACAGACACACAGAGAAAGTACGCCAACAGCAGAGTTTTCTCTGTAGTCCAATCCAAAGTTATACAAAGAGGACAACCCAACAGTTGGAAGACCTAACTGCTGAGCCATTGCCTAGTAATGGCCATTCCTACACTTCTTCTCTGACTGCAATATTCCAGCTTTCAGGTGTCATGCCATGTCACATATGTTTGTATGGTATTCTAATGGTTGTCCCTTCTGGCCCCAGTATTCCAGCTTTCAGAAGTTAAGGGGTGATACACAGACACACAGACAGCAAGGTAACCTCATAAGCCACCTTTTTTTTTTAAAAATAAGGAAAGCAGGCTAATAAAGCAAACTCTGAAAAATAAAGTTTCTGTTGTTGATGTGAAATACTTGATATTTTTCACACACAACCTAAATGATCCTCCATGTCTGTTATTTTCAAAAAAACAAATGGTTCTTGGAAAATTTGTATTCATATTTACAACCCAATACCAGACCAAGTATCACATGCCTCATTCATTAATCACCATTACTTCTCAGGTCATTTTGGGGGTAGGGGGGGGGGAGAGAAAAAGGAGGAAGAAGAAGACAATGATGACAAAGAAAACCTTCGGTCAGGAAGGTCACTAGCTCAGATGCAATTCACATTGTATACCTCCCAAATACAAGCAGAATTACTGTTATACCAGTGTGCATGGTATCACTCAGGTATCAAAACATACAATAAGTGCTCAATATGTTGTTAATCTAATTTTACACAAAATGATCTTAATAAGAGATGTCCTATAGATCAAATCTGAAAGGAATGTTTCATATATTACACCCATGTAAACCAACCTGAAGAGGAGAGTAGTATATCCCCACAGCTCTTCTTCCACCCAATGCCATGTAGTTCAATGGTCTCAGGATGAGCCCTCAGCATGGGCCATTGTGATAGGCGGGTAGGCCCGCCACATGGCACACCAAGAAACCTGGTTCCCAGCAATGTCTTGTACAGATATTCTGCATCATCCACATTACAGATGGTAATGGGGAGCCTGCCAGATGCAAACACTGTCATTCTGTGGAGAAGATTAATGTTATCACTTTGCTTGGCTCCAACTCAACTGCTATGGTTACATGCAACTATCTACACAGAATCCAAATACAAATTTTTAAAATTGAGCTTAAAACTAACCCAAAGGTGTACTGCTGTATTTGCAGCAGCCAGCCACTAGACCCTATCATGATGCAGATGAATCCAATCCACATCCTTACACCATGTTTCTCTAACCATATCCAAGGGTGATCATTTCATTTTAATATTATCCTCCAACCTACACCTAGGTTTTGCATGTATTCTCTCCCCTTCATGTTTTCCACCCACTGCACTGAAATATCATAACAAAATTTTCACATGATGCTTAGGGAATTGATCAGATACATATCCTAGTTCCTCATAAAAGTTATCATTTGTACCATCACTTTTAGCGTGGGGCATTTACATTCAGAGTAACATCACACCAGTGACCTGTTAGTATTACACACATCCTATCTCTAGCAAAATCTACCCTCTTACCTGCTGATATGATTCTGTTATGTATGAATGTATAACTGTCTGCTTATTCAGTAGAACCCTGGTTCCTTCTGACCAACTGTACTCCCATTAAATCTAACTTCACTAATTCTCTTACTAATGTTCTGATGAACCTGTCCTATACAGATTCCTGACATTAGAAATTCCAAATCTCATACTCATTTTCCAGTCCGTGGTTGTGGAGTGTTTGCAGAAAAGAATGGGTCCTCCTCATCAGCCAACTGGTTTCTGGACATTTCAGATGGGGGAAGGGGGAGGATCCTGATGTTTCAATAGGATGACAGGCACACACAAGCTTGGCATAAATATGTTCTGATTTTATTTTGGAACATATAATTTATATTCTCTTGCCACAGATCTGAAAATCCAACTTTTCTGATTCAAATTAATTCTAAATAATTGATGTCAACACAGAAAACTTGGACATATATAATTCATACCCCATGATCCCACAGTTGAAACAGTTAAGACCCTATGCACCCAGACTATGCCACAATTAATATAAAACACTCTTTCATATTTTCTTTTTTTTCAGTTTTATAACAAATTTAAATTATGAAAATATGTAAAAAAGAAAGATAACCAATACTATAAAACTATGTATATTTCATACAACTTATGTCATTCATTTGCCAAACAATAAACTAAGCCAAATTCCTCATGAGGACTAATTCTGATTACAAATTTTAAGTAAACTGCATGATTACTTGATTTCATCTGTCATTATCAGAGCTCCCTTGGATACCTGATGGGGTCATTCCCTTCAACATAGTCCAGTCGTCCAAGGCCAGCAATGAACAGTGACATATTTGGCTGCAGCCTGTACGTCCTTGGGGAAATCAATTTCTTGGGTAATGTCATCATCAATTCTTCTGCTGTCAGTAAATGGATTACCTGCAATGTGATCAAAATTTTGAGTCAGTTCTGTAAATTTATTTAAAAAATATACTGTGTTCATACTAGTAATTTGTGAATTAAAGTATACACAGGTTAAATAATGACAACTAAAATTACATATCTGTTTGATGATTCAGATCCTCTTGATGAGGACTTTCTATTAATTTCATATACCACACAGCATAGAGAGACACTTTTTCTTAAAAAAAAATGACAAAAATGAATGAATATTTTTAACATTCAAAAAGGAAAATACTTTCCTGCGTAATGAATCAACTATCTGAACAATCTTTTAATACACATTCTTAAGTATGTTCTATATGACTTATACAAGTATCAATCAAATCTGCAAAACCATTCATTTGTACAATTTTTTATAAGTATTTTGTGTAGAGCCATTGCTATGCAATGACAGCGAGATGGGTGGATATACCAGGGCCGTTTCTAGGCAACGGCTAGGTAAACACATTCCTCTAAAACAAACAATGAATCAACATCCGTTGCTGGGCAGCAGATTCTTAATAATGCAACAGCTGGACTACAACAATAGAAGAAGTGTGTTTTCTACATGATCCATGTCAAGATGTTACAAACAAGGGCCCAAGTTAGTTGATAATCTGTATGGGAGGCTGTGAAGACAGGACTTGAGCTGGAGGCGGAGGAATAGCCATTCTTGGAGCAGTTACCAGGAAACATCTAGTAACAGACTGAGAACACTAGACTGTGTGCTCTAGTGAACTGTAAATGTGGAAATGATGATAGTGTTATAGTTATTTGTAGTTACAACCTCTAAGCGGTCAATAAATCTATTCACCATTCCAAATCCCATCTATGGTCACACAAACATGTGACAGATGGTGACTGAAGTGGCTGGATTGGAATCACATCCCAACACATGACGTGGAGACCGCAGTAAGAAGCTATATCACCACGCTATGGAAATGCAACAGAATGCAGAACTGAAAGCCAACCAGGCAAAAGCAGACACCAATCTAAAGGAAGTGAGAGCCTGCCAACCACACCTGAAAGAAGAAATGCTGGCCAAGTAAGCTGTCCATCACAAAAAGATGTTGCCCAGGATGGACTCCCAGCTAAAGGAAATTGAGGCCTGTCTAGGAAAGATGGAGGACACGGATTTGGAGGCAAATCCAGAAGAAACAGGGTCCAAGGTGAAGCATGAGGAGGTCCCTAAGGAGGAAGCTGCAAAGGAAACTTTTGGCCACTGAAGGAACAGTATAGGGACCGGCATCTAGCCGTAAGGCACAGCAGTAAGCCAAATGAATGGTCCCAAGGCAATGGTGGGTTTGGGAAAAAGTTGACCCACTGTGCCATTCCTGCACAGCGTAAAAGACACTGTCAGGGAAAGGGCAAGGCCAAGGCCATGCGAAGAATCCAGCATGGACACACATTCAGAAGATACATCGGGTGAATCTGAAGGGAGGCAATGGAATAAGGGACCAAGACGTAAAGGAGCAGCTATGTCCCGGAAGTAAAAGGACATCCAGCAGGATCTTCAGGAAGGCTCTCATGTTGGAGATCATGAAGCAAAGAACTGAAATGTCAGTCAGGATTCAGAACATTGTGGAGGGGTTGACCCCCTCCAAAATGAAAGAAGACTACACACAAAGCAAAAGCGGAGATGTAGGAGCACTGGTCACTCTAGGTAGTGTGCCCGCACCAACTAAAAGAAGGATCTTTATTGTTCGTATCCTCTGGTGTGTTGTGATGTGGAAAGAAAAATAATGGTGGTATGCCTGGACCGGCTCACATCTTATCGGGGAGCTGCTCAGGATGAGCTACAGTCTACTTCAATCCAGGCAATTTTTATTTGCAACCACCCATAGGTTTGAACTTTGTGTAATGGACTAGGCAAATTGATTTGTTCTAAGCAGGGCACTTTCCACCAAGATGTATAACAAAACGGCTCGTTGGCTGTTGATACAGCATTATAAAATAACACAATACAGGTATTTTTACTTGTAATATCACCTGTACACAAAGGGTAATTTTGGACAGAAAAAGATGGTACCTACCCATAATAAAACCCCATTACAATGGCTTACAAATTAATTAATCTACCATAGTGGGTTAACTGCTAACATTTATCATAATCATAATGTGAAATGACACCTGAGAGCCGTGATAGTGGAGGCAGAGCCAGGTGCCCATGGCTAGACAATGGCTCAGTAATTATGTATCCATAGCAACAAATAGAGCTGAAGAAACAATGCATTGCATATGGAGTCAAGCTGATTCCTAGGCAATGCATATAGAAACGTTTCCATTACAATGGATAGGTAAAGGCTGTTCGCATGGCAATGAACCAGTCAAAAGAGTAAGAGCTAGGAACACAAGGACTCTACTGCTGCAGGTGATCTCCGTACAGTTTGACCAGAACCTACCTCAGAGAGAGAATTGACCAAAAGAGGACAGAATACAAGCGAACACAGAAGATGGAGTTGGAAGTCAGAAGTGAAGCCTTTAGCTCGTGTGGTGTCATCACTGTCCATAGTTACAAAGAGTTACAATTACAGTAAGGCTGTGTTACAACTAACTGTAGTTCCACTTGGTGAATATCCAGTAAATTGCTTCATATAATTCAGGATCCATTACCTGTCATGTTACCAGAATATGTGACAATATCTTTGATGCTTGCACTTTCACTACACACCTGGTCCGGATGTACAACTCCTGGTGTGTCATAGCACCATTTACTTTTTGCATACATTTCATCTGAAGGATCCAAGCCAGATAAGGGCCTGGGACCTTCTGGGGAAGTTTCCATGGAAAAAGGATCTAAATTTGAGACAGGCTGCTTTTGGCAGAAGGTCATTCCAATGTGTCCTGAATAAAAATAAAAAGAATAAAAATTGAAGAATGATGGGAGAAAAATACCATATACATATAGGCACCATCAGTAAAATTGCGTTTTACTTTCTGAGACCATCAACAAACCTTTGTGGTGTCTAATGTTTTTATTTAAAAACCCACTACACGTTTCGACCTTTGTTCATAGGTCATCTTCAGGTGGCATAATGTGACAAATGTTAGTGAACTGTTTTGCTCTATTTTCTACAGTTAACTTATCAATGTTTCTGGTATGTTACCACCTGATCATGATCTAAAAAATGGCTGATACATGTAAGTATTTTTAAATAAAAACATTAGATATTGTGAAGTTGTGCTAATGGTCTCAAAAAGTAAAATACAGTTTTACTTGTAGCTTAATATAAAACACAACAAGATGAAAATATTAAAGCTATCTCTCTGACCGAGTGCCATGATTCTAGGTTGTATAAGGGACATTATGTAGACCTCAGCACTAGATGAAGAGTTATGTACAATTTGAAGTTTTCACAGTGGTGGTTATGAAGAGTTCTTTCTTCTGGGATATAAAACCATGTAGTCCATTGAATGTCAAACAATGTTTCAGAGGGACATGCTGCCTCCATGTTCATGCTGGTTTCTTGCTTGGCTTATTCTTTGACCCTGAAAATGGAAGCAACATGTTCTTCCACAACCTCAGTTGACTTTCAAAGGACTAGCCTACACATTCACTTCTGCCTGTAATGCAAATCTGTTCACAATCTCTCCTTAATTTAAAATTACATTAATATCACAATCAACACTGCTCCATGTTTGTCTTACTTGGCCATCCTCAGGCAGCTGTTCACTTTTTGAAATCGCCATACTATTCTAGTTCCTAAGTCAAAATATTTCAATGCTATTGCACTGTCATCATTCACATTAAAATACATTTGTTTCAGAACTTTTTATCCATTCCTATGATATTTTTCTCTTGTGGTGTCTGTGTTTTCTGTGATGTATAATATATGTTCATGATCCTTGTTACTGTAAAATTTTACAAATTTTGAATTTTGGTAGTTGCTTTCATATTACTTGCTTGTGCTGTTTTATTTTGCCATATGAACATTGGTGTGGTGTTATTGTTGTTATTTTTATCTGCAATATACAATGATGTAAGTAAAGTAAAAAAAGTAAAGGTATCCCTCTAACAGGCCGCGGAGGCCCATAGGGTTGTGAGATGTTGAGGTTCCCACATTTTCTAGACAATCGGCTCATAGAAGGTGGTAAGGTTGTCAGCCTTACGCGCCGGCCACCTATTACACCAAAGAACTTTCCAAGAATATTCCTGGTATTCATTTTTGTTAGAGGCTGTGTTGACCCCAGGGCCATAGTGCGGCTGGAAGGATTAGGTAAACTGAAAAAATCCACCTCATCGGGATGCCCTTACAAAAGTGACATACACTCAACTTGTGGGAACATACATACTAATGAGGAACATAAGTACTCGTATATAAAAAGATAATAACATACAAACACATAAAAATAGCAAATACAAATATTAATAACACATCTTTAAATATTGCAGATAAAAATAATGATAACACTATGCCAATGTTCGTAGAGCTAAATAAAACAACACAAGCAAGCAATATTAAAGCAATTACCAAAATTAAAAATTTGGCAACAAAGATCATAAACATATATTGCACATTACAGGAAACACAGACACAGCAAGATGAAAATAGCAGCAGAAAGGATAAGGAGTTATGTTTCAAAACAAATGTATTCTAATGTGAATGACAAAAATGCAATAGCACTGAAATATATTTAGAATTAATCACTATGCAATTTGGCAATTTTGAAAAGTGAACAGTTGCCTAAGGATGGCCAAGTAAGGCTGAAACATGTAGCAGTTGATTGTGATTTTAATGTTATTTATATTTAGGAGAGATTGTGAACAGAGCTGTATTAAAGACAGAAGTGAACGTGTAGAGTGATACATCAATGCAACAGGATGCTGAAATATAGTGTTATTCAGTGGACTATATGGCATTATATTACACAAGACAGAACTCTTTGTAAGCACTCCCATGGGAACTTCATATGCTACACAGTCACTTATCTTCATCTACTGCTGAGGTCTGTATCCATGTCCCTTTATACATCCTCGCTTCATGATAATCAGACACAGGGATAGCTATAAGTGCAGTCTTACCAATGAGAGCTGGTAGATTTCGTGACGTATCCTCTTTGAACTGGCTGTAATGCAGCCTGCGTTCTGCCTCAAGTTGCTGCCTTTGCGATAGTATACGTTTAGTCCGCTCAGCTAAACGCCAGCCAGATGGTCGCAGAATAGGAAACTACATAACAATGAGAAGAATTAAACTGCCAATAAAAATAATTTTAACACTTTCACAGGTATGAGGTTTCAGGTGCTTCGATATAATTCTTACATGTAGTCATTTTGTGTTACATGACCTAGGCAGATGATAAGGTATCACTAAATAAGCCATGAGAAAAGAAGAAATGCTATAATAAGCAGTTACTTTGAGGAGGTTTATTGTTGTGCCTGGCCAGGGCGAAGTTGTGGCTCTTTGTATTAGATCCACTGCCTTAACTTTGCAGTAGTCAGACCGCAGAAGGGCATTGAACAGGGTCGATTTCCCAACATTGGTGCATCCAAGTAGGTATACATCTCCTGCAACATACACAATAAAATTATTTTCAAAGTGATACTCTCTTTCAGGAAATTCTTCATACTTATATAAAACAAATTAAGCTCTGAATCTGTCAAAGACATTTACTGCAAGAAATTTCATAGTATATTGGCATTAAATTCTGAATCCTTCCTTATAGACACTTAGGCCACACCACAGCTCAGGCGGTTAGTCGCTGGCTCCTCACTGCAGCGGCCCGGGTTCGATCCTGGGTCTGGTAAAGTGGAATTTGTGGTGGGCAAACTGGCACTGGGGAGGGTTTTCTCCAAGCAGTTTGGTTTCCCCTGCCAATCTTCATTCCACCCACTGCTCCATCATCATAATCACCCGGGGCAAGTACAACAGGCCAATCAGTGGCCGCCGTGCCAAGTGGACCCAGCTGGACTCCACCCCCCACTAAGCGAAATTATAAGCCAACACAAATAATGAAACTGAACACAACGCATAACCAATCACAAAAACTTGTAATTGATGTCTCTTTTAGCTGGTATGCATATTTTCATTTCCAGTTCTAAAACTTCATATTGAAATGTTATATATACAGGATACTCTACTCATGCCCACAAAGAGGCAAACTGAATTGTCAAGTTAACTGTGTCCCAACATGGGAAAGTCATACAAATTCAGAAGAATATAGTTATGTACAGAGAGCACACATGAGAAATTTGGTGTGTGGGTGTTCACATGTGCATGTGCGTGTGTGTGGCATCACATAACTCACAACTTCGAACACACGTAAACTGAACAAAATTTAAGTGCTGAATGTGACACTTCATTCAACCCTCAATGCATCTTTATTTAGTCCATGCAGTGTGGACAGTAATCTTACATCTTTTCAGTCTCAATATAATAGTGCGTATTGGTTTACTTCAGGATGCTATGAGTTTTATCATGTAATACCATGGCTACTACATGCAGAAACACAAATACTTGAACAGAATTGACATCCTGATCCTTCTTTCTATTTGTTATACAGTTACTTTACATTTAAGCATCTACAACTTGCAGCAAACTTCAGATAGGGTTTCTGAGCTTGCTTTGTATGTAATGAGCATCACAGCAAGAATATTTTTCCCCATTTATTTATTTATTTTCTTGCCTGGCATTCTGCAATACAGTCAACTCTCGATTATCCGGGATAATGGTGGGGATGGAAATCACGATTAATCGAAAACCCGGTTAACACAAATTTTATTAAAAGTAGTACTGTAATACTGTATCTTCATAATACTATAGGCCTACCTGTATTTAAATTTATTCAACCTCATTTTTATGTCATCTCATGGCCTATTTAATACTTTTTTTTTTACATTACACTGAAGTATGAATTAGTTATTTCAATCACAGTCTTCAACAACATCCAACACTTTTTACGAATATTTACACTTAACACTTAAAAAAATTTAATATTGTCGTTTACTTTTTCGCGGCATTTTCCTTTTTCTGTTGAATACTTAACACAACACGCTTCCTTTTACACCCTGACATTTTGCTAAGGCACTTGAAGATCGATACAAAGAGACCAATTGGGGCGGTGTATCTATCCTTGAAACTTTCCACAAATCCTTGCATTCTTTCACCCCTACCCTAGAACATTGTGTTAGCATAACGGGACCAAAGAATGCAGAGCTCGGTTCACACTAGTGCGAAAATAGTGTTACAACTCACCATGTGAAACAAAAAGTGAATGAATATTAAACAACATATAAGCCTCAAAAAAGCCCCAGTAGCCACGGTTAAGCCGCAAACCGGTTAATCCGCCCCCGGATAATCGAGAGTTGACTGTATAAGTCATAATGCGATAAAGAGTTACCAACCATGAAGAATGCCGTCTTCTGCGATGTGGCACCGTGTAGATCTTGTACGAACTGATGTTTTGGAGGAATGTATCGCATCCACCTATAGCCACCTACTCACAGTGGTTCCTCGCTCGTGGATTTTTCTACCCTGAAGATGGATGCGATACGTTCCTCTGAAACGTTGGTTCACATCTATACAGCAACACTTCCCAGAAGACAACATTCTTCATAGCCACTGCCGTGAAAACCTCAAATCTTCCAGTTATCAAGCAAAACAAAACATTTTGGATCCATGTGTCAAGTGTAGGGTGGCATGTGTGATGAAAATGACGGGTTCTAGTTCAGATGATCAGATTTATAAGCACATTGGTTACACACTCTCTTAATTACACTTAAATGCAGGCAATACAGTGCTATTGCTGATTTACACACTTCCTAGTTCACAGTTGCACATGCACTAGGATTCTCTGTTTCCACTAGTTGTCTCCTGGCAATGCATCTCATCACAGAAACTAGCACTTCAAATCACTATGAAGTCTTCCTATTATCTCATCTTCAATCTCTCTGTACTCCTCTGTCCTAATCTGTACTCAGTCTTCACAATTTAAGCTCCATTCTCTTCCTTGTACTCTCAACTGTTGAACCCTCCTTGATTCTCCACTTTGCTCCATTCGTGTTATTCCACTGCTACTATTTCTCTCTATAACAAACTCAACTGAACTATGAACTCAGAACTCTGTCACTCACTTATATAGCCGAGGGACCAACACTGACCAATATCATGTGACCCCTACCTACTGTTGCTGTGTGATGTCACAGCACATGCACTGATGGATATGCAGGAAACATATCACGTGATGTGACACCTACTGTTGATGTGTGACATCACTGATCTTACACCAACTGCTGGGCACATGGAAAACACAGCTTGCTCTACTGTTGTGGGTGTTTATTGTGTTTACAGAGCTGTTGCCTGGCAACACATTGATCTAATAAACTACACACGCATACAGTCATTATACCATACAAATTTATGAATAAGAAATGTCAGCTCTGCATACCTCTGTATGCCCACAAATTATGCAGTTTGGTGATCAATTCTTCTACTCCATACCCTGTCTTGGCACTGATCAAAGCAACATGCTTGATATTTGAAGGTGGTATGCCACTGTGAGCAACACTTTCAGCCAGGCATTTCTGCATATGATGAAGATACCCACGGCTGTCTGGTGGCAGCAAATCCACTTTGTTACCAACCACTACAATCGGTTGCTTACGACCTATAACAAAGAACATTTGAAATATCTGCAGTTAGTGATAAATCAAAATCAAAATTATGAAGGAATTAAGAACAGATTAAATGTTTGGAATGCTTGCTACCAGTCAGTTCAGAATCTATCTTCCAGTCTCCTATTTGAAATCCATGCATTAAAAATACATTCTCATGAATGTACATGTTAATTTGTGTAGGTGCAAAACTTGATTTTTCATTCTAAGGGAAGAATACAGGTTGGGGGTGTTTAAGAATGGGGATAAGTTTGGAGAATATTTGAACCCAAGAAAGAGGAAGTAATAGGAGGCACAAAAAAATTGCACAACAATGCACTTCACAATTCCTACTATTCATCAAATATTTTCAGGATGCTCAAACCAAGGAAGATCAGACAGGCAGTGTATGTAACATGCACAGTACAGATTAAGACATGCATAAGAAAATGTAGTCAGAATATTTAAAGGGGGAAGAGACTACTTGGGAGACATACATGTGGAGAACAAGATAATATTAAAATTGTGCTTAAAGAAAAAAGGTGTGAGGATATAGATTAGATTCATCTGACTCCAAACAGTGTCCTGTGGTAGACTTTTTCATCATAGTCAAGAACTTCTGTGCTTGATAAATGCTTCATAAAATGCAGGGTATACCTTGAGCAGCTGAAAGACTATAATAGGACTCTTGATTCTTGGAGCCAACTAGTAAGGATCATTATGTTTCAGTTAAACATCTAAAGTTTCTGGACTTTAAATTTCAAAACATGGGACCATCGACACCATCAAGTGGGGGGGAGGCAGCCTTATGCCACCCTCCATGAATTTTTGGAACAAAAAATCCAAATAAAAAAATGTTTTCCAAAATTTGTATTTCTCTATCCTGTGCAGCCACATAACTCTTAAGGTGTCTGTAAAAACATTCTTAAATGGCTTGAATGTACATATGTAACAAAATTCTCTTGATGATAATCACATATGCATGAATATATGGCCCCTGTCTAGAATAAGTTAAAAAGAGCACTAAAAACTCAATCAGGATAACTGGTATTTCATCTTGGATTCAAACTAGTTACCGCCTAAACACAAATCTGACATGTTACAACTCTGTCAGCCTGCTTGGTCACAATACGTGAAAATGAGACACTAAACTTTAGTTGTTGTAAGACTATACTTACCAACAATGTGCATAATTTCTGGCCAGATACTGCAGGGAAAATCCAACAGATCAACCATAAGAACTATTAAGGCTACTGTATCCTTCAAATGGGCCATTAGTTTTGGATAGTCATCTGGAGAAACAATCACATTCAAAGCAGTGTCATAAAAACGCAGGAAGTGACAGCGCTGACAGACAACTGCACGCAGTGAGACCTCATCTAGTTGCTTAAACAGCTCACTGGGAAGGTAGCCTGGAATAGCCGTGTCCTGAAAGTATACAGATCTTACATACAATCATAATACTTTATTTTTATTCAACTGTATCAGCAGCACAGTTATCTAACATCAGATGGATTAGAGAGTATCCATGTACAAAAAATACACAAGAAGCATTTATAGCAGAGTTCAAGGCACTATTCCACAAAACAGACAGCCATTGAACTGGCCAAAATCCCATATAGGTACCTCCCGCTTGTGAATACAGTACACTGTTCATAACCAGATGACTCAATATGACCAAAATTACTCTCTTTAATACATGCCACACACTTTGGAAACTATAAACATACCACCTAACTACAATAAGAATAACCAAACAATCCAGATTTTCCCAGAAAGGTGTTCAAGCAAAGTACTTTAGTTTCCAGGATTATCAACTGTTCCACATTTCAAAGTTTTAAGAATGATAATTATATTAAAAGATTTAATCAAAACAGTACTACATGGGAGACCTGGATGTAGATGGGAAAATAATATTAAAATGGATCTCACAGAAACACACTGTAAACTGAAATGAAATGGCTCAGGATAAAGTCTAATGGTGGACTTTCATGATTACCCAAATATTTGGGATTCAGGAAACAAAGATTATCATGTGAAATCAAAGCAACTCACAGATGGATTTCAATGATACCTGGTAAGCCTCATAGTTCTTTTCATATGAGATAATACAAAATCAGAAACAAATTGCACTTTTTGGACATAATACTGCTCATAAAAACTACTATAACTCTTGCTCTAATGAACTAATTTGAAGACTAATGAAACTGAGATTTTAGTGAGATATAACATGCCTCGGTTTAGCATGGGCCAGCTTTAAGACCACCAAATTGATAATGACCTAAATATTCAAAGATTGTCTTCAAATTTTTTATTTTTCCCCCAGCTCTATCCTACTCCACATCCCCCCCCCCACCAAAAACCATTGTGGCACACAAATCGCAGCATAGGATAGGACAGTTAACCATAAATCCTACATTCACAGTATGTGACCGTAATTATAAATACACATCATGAATCTAAGAATATTTATCAAGACATAAACTGCCATGGTAACATGAAAGTAAGCACAATGGTAAAATATATATTTAGCAAATATCACCCACCCAGTATGAAATGAACTGTTCACATAGACTGTAACTGTTTGCACATCTTGTGGAGGAAACATGCAAATCCACTGAGTAAGGGTCTGTGAATCAACTTCTGTGATATCAGCCCTATTACCCATAAGAATATCTAGTTTCTACACAGTGCCATCACCCCAAAAGAGGATCAACATAAATTCAATGTCCAGCAGTTAACTTCATGACTGCTTCTGGGAATTATCTGCCTAGTGCCATCTTAAAGAAGATTCAAGACCACAGAAACTGACCACAGACCACTTCAAGATTGCTAAATTATTATAGTCATTCATTATTATATTGTCATATTGAATTGAATGGCCGCGCCACAGCTTAAGCGGTTAGTTGCTGGCTTCCCACCGCTGCGATCTAGTCATGTGGGATCTGTGATGGACAAAGTGGCGCTGGGGCAGGTTTTCCCCGCGTACTTCGGTTTCCCCTGCCAATCCTCATTCNTCTTATTACTATTTACTATTAGTATTAATATTAATCTTTGACTTGTCCCATATCATGTATAATGATTCATGGATGAAATAAAATTGAACTGAACTGAATTGAGTATAGAAATTTACCTGACAATGAAGCATAGCCCCACAACCTCCACAAGGCACATCACTAAGGGGAACATTCATATCTGGTGTTCCATAATTCAGCTCCCATGATCTGGGATTTTCAAACACATCTTCACTTTCATCATAACATTCATAATCTGACATCCAATTAGAAACACTGATGTCTGACCTTCTTGTAGGTAACCGGGTCCAACTTGAGTTACTCAATTCAGAAAACTTCAACATTCCTTGATATGGAAGATCAACGCGTTTGTTTTCATTATCTTTAACTCTGCTGCTAAGAGTAGTATCCAATTCTGTTTCAATGCTGTAAGGAAGGCATACAGTTTCATTTTCCGGCAAAGTTTCTACTTCATCACTATTAGTTTTATGAATTTCTGGTGTATCTCTTAAGTACTTCAGAGCAACTGGAATATCCTTCATAGCATCTTTCTCATTTATTTTCGAAACTCTTAATTTTTCTTGCTTATCCTTTAAAATTTTTTTCCTTTTCCAGTTCCCATTTAATTTCGAAAATTCTAAAACTGTGTTAAATATTATCTTACTGTTAACGGCTTCAAATTTTCTTTTCAACTCTTCTGTTTCTGCTTCTTGCACAGCTTCTAATTTTCTATCATGGTGCATCGAATCCTGCTTCTGAACACAAAGGTGAGTAGATACAAACGTCCGTCTTGTAGACAAACATTTACAACCACGTACTTTCATAAAGGCTGTACGAACAAAACTTTGATACGAACACTCTACCTGCACCAAAAATAAAGCACTGGGTCCAAATTTCAGAAAACGATCAACACTTTTCTGTAAATTTTGTAAACGATTCCAACATACAGCCATTGCTTGGAATAAACACTCGATAATGATGGTTAACTGTTCACATAATTCGCCGGTAAACCTGAAAATAAGTCTACAGGAGCGAATATTTTATAATACTGAGGCGAAGGAGTGGGCAGATTGGTGAGGTTAGGGTTTTAAACTAAAAGTAGTCGAGAGACCATGAAACACTAACGTCACTATACAAATCGTTTCCAAATTGGGGGTTCTTGCGAGTATCTGCTTTACTCACTTCCGCACCCCGAGTTCTGTCGTAACTTCACTTCTTTCTCTACCTAACACGCATTTTCATATTGCTACACACCGCTATACACCTCGCCTTGACCAGAAAATCGCAGCATGCGTGGTGAGGAGCTGAGGAGTACGAGACCGCATGAGTAATGATGGCCATTCCGCGCTAAAATTCGAATTTCTACAATGAGAAAACTATTATGTAGGATTGCTATTTAGGGCCACAATCATTATGATTACTCCTCCAAGAAATACAATTTGAGTCTCATTTTTAAAAGACACAGCTTCTAAGATACAGTGTCTACTAGGAGAAATGCCGGGATTTCATGCAGCTGCAGTTTAGGAAAGAGAATATACGGGGCAGTTGTTTGCATATTTAATCTATTAACTGAAACAGCGTTTCTTACACACAAGTGGAAAGTTTGTTATGCGCGAAATACTTAACAATGAGCACCAGCTCTACATACGTCCCACGCATACGTACCTTTTGTAAGACGCGCTGTAACAAGTATTTCGTAGTGTTCGCAATTGCTGCTGATATCCATGCTTTGACTTCAATCAGCATGCACTCTCTTTGACTGTACACCTTGAATTGAATTGAATTTATTTACATTCTATAAATCCTAAGCAGGTTAGTACCCTTGGATACAGAACAAGTCAAAAGGTTACATACATAAGTACAGGCAATTTTGGCTTAAAAATTAATATAACTTAATTTTACATCATTCTCTATTTACACTGAAGTATTCATCTAAAGAGTAGAAGGAATGAGCATGTAGATAATTCTTTAACTCTGATTTAAACTTTTTAGTATCATTGCCCAAGTTTTTAATACTTTGTGGCAGATTGTTGAACACTTTTATGCCAGTAAAGTAGACTCCTTTTTGATATACTGATAAAGTTGATGAGGGTAGGTGGAAGTTATATTTTTGTCTAGTATTCATGTTATAGACATCAGAATTTAATTTGAATTTATCTTTGTTGTAAACAACAAATAAGAGAAGCGATAATATGTATTGTGATTGAAGAGGTAGAATTTTTAATTTCTTAAATAATTCTCTACATGAATCTCTACTTCTACATCCTGTAATGATTCTAATTATATTCTTTTGTATTTTAAAAATTATTACACTATGTGAAGAGTTCCCCCAAAATATTAATCCATAGTTCATAATAGAATGAAAGTAGGCATGGTAAACCATCTTCAATGTTTCCTGTGACATAAAAGGCTTAATTGATCTCATCGCATAGCAAGCTGCATTTAATTTAGGTATAATTTGTTCAATATGTATTTTCCAAGACAGTGTACTGTCTACATGTATTCCAAGGAATTTTGTATCAAGTACTTTACAGATTAATTTGTTGGCATAACTGATGTCCAGATCAATTTGGTGGTTGTTTTTAGTTGTGAATGATATGTAATGGGTTTTATCAAAATTTAATGAGAGTAAATTGGCTTCGAACCATCTGTTTAAGGCTTCAAATACAATATTTATGTCATTTTTAAAGTTTTCAAATTTAGAGTTCTTAAATATTATACTAGTGTCATCTGCATATAGAATTGGTTTAGATTTATTGTTGATGGTTTTAGATAGATCATTTATGTAGAGAAGAAAAAGTAAGGGACCTAAAATTGATCCTTGTGGAACACCTTGCTTTATAATTCCCCAGTTTGAAAATGCATTATGACTGAGTTTTTATTATTTATTTCAACTCTTTGATACCTGTTTTTGAGGTATGATTTGATCCATTCATTAGCTTTGCATAGCTTTCCCATAGCCCTAAATAAAAAAGTCCAAAGACGCAAAGCTAGGAGAAACAAGGAAACCACAATTGGTGGAAATGAAGGCTTCGTTCGTAAGCAAAAATTGGATTGATCTGGCTCATGATAGAGACAAGTGGGAGGCTCTTGTGAACACGGTAATGAACATTATGTTTCCATACAATTTTGGGAAATTCTTGAGTAGCTGAGCGACTGGGGGCTTCTCGGGGCAGATTCAGCTCCACAGAGTTGGGTACTTATCATGATTTGAGGGGTGCCTAAATCTCACATCAAGTAGTTGCACTTTATTCACCATATGTGGTGAAGACTCAGAATCTTAATATTGTGTTCTATGGCTTTGTTAATCACATCTTTGTTCTTTTGTTGAACTTCGAATGCTTCACAAATTTGAAGAAATGATCAAATCAGCTGGTTACTATGTCAGTCTCTAGAAAATCACTTGGATGGCAAGTTGAAACTGAACCAACTAGTGCATTATCCACAAGTTCCTCTTCATGTTTTTCCTGGGGAAAACCATCAATGGTTCCAATGGCATTCATGCAAGTCATGAGTGTGATGAGTTGACCACTTCCTGAAGAAGTTGACAAAGCCACTTTTTCTTATTCTTCAAGCTGAAAACTTTGCTTTGTGTTGCGCAGTTGTAATTTATATCCATCAATGTTAAAAATTCTATGGGCTACATGATTAATTTTTCAGTGCATGAGGAGTTGTGATAGCATAGTCGGTATACTGACTGGCTACAGGCTGGACGACTGAGGGGTTGGAGTTTGAGTTCCGGTAGGGTTAAGAATTTTCTCCATGTCGTCCACACAACCTCCAATCTAATGGTTACCGGTGGCTCTATCCTTGGGGGTAAAGTGGCAGGGGCATAAAGCTGAGCAGTCACCTCTAACTAGTGCAAGTTCAAGAAAATGTGATCCACTTCTCCATATGTCTTCATGGCATAGTGTTTAACATACGGGATGACTACGGTGCCCTACTATACTCTGTCTGAAGATGGACAATTTCTTGCCACTGGCTTCATTACAGAGTCAATGAATTCTTTTGGATATTCACTGAGCATCAGGTCATGTCTTATGTTTTTAATTTCGTTGTTAAAATCCTTCTGGTTTTGACATATGACCTTTGCTTGGTTGACCAAACTATGAATGATTACCTTTTTACATGTAGGTGGTTGGATGTGAAGATAACAACCAGTATGTGTAGGCTTCCGGTACACTTTTGTGGTCAGTTCATAACCAAAACGTCCAAGAATGGAAGGGTATTATTAGCATCAACTTCCATAGTGAATTTGATGGTAGGCCTGATGCTGTTGATGTATTGTACTGTCCGTTATGTAGGGAATGTAAACAACGTGTCGTTGTTTACATTCCCTACAGAACGGCCAATACTTTGTAAGATCAGGCACCAACTATAACATTAATATTACTACATCTATATCATGAGCCTCCAAAACAGTTTATTATATATACACAAAATATAGAATACTCCAATTTGTCTGTGGGAACACAACAAAATCACAAAACCAACGACTGACTCGATGATGTAAAGCATCACTCAAAGAATTTTATTGTTTTATACTATAACTTTTGTTTTATATAATATAATTTATTGTAATTCTATGCCAAGTATTTTAATATAATTAATCTTATTGTATCCAATTTTATTAGTACTGCAGTTCAGTGGTGTATATATGTTAGCCATGTATTTGCCTGATGACAGCTTTTAATAGCTGAAACATGTAGCAGGGCCAAATTAGGCACTGACCTTAATATAGTTGTGTTGTGACAGTTTTAATAAACAAATTGTGAAAAGAAACTTACTAAATGCAAGTCAGTTTGGCTTTCGAGCAGATCACAGTATCATACTTCAATGTATGAGGTTGGCAGACCATGTCACCCTTAATTTAAAAAATAATATATAAAAGGCTACTGTGTTCTTCGATACCGAGTAAGCCTTCGACATAACATGGAACTCTGTCCTGCTATATAAATTGTCAGAATCAGAACTTTCTTCAAGTCTCACTAAGCTAATTGGTTCTTTGCAGAGGGCATACAGAGAGATGTTGAACTTTGATAAACTGAAGGCAAGGAGGAAGGAAGAAATTTCCCAATGCACAAAGAAAAAAAAAATACTGCAACAACTGGAGATGGCGTTGCAGATGGCACATGAATTCTGTTCACACTTCAAAAAGTAGAAGTATTGCAATTTAGACAGAGTATTTTGTGAAGGCCTGAGGGAAGATGTGGAACTATCAATGCCATGATTGTTTTTATTTGTAATATTCAAATTTTTTCTTGCCCTACTTATGTTATTTTGGATATAATAGGCTTTTGATATCACCTTGCTCTCTGTCTGTCATGGTATTTCTCCCTAATTTCTTTGTGTTCTATGTGGTCCATGTTGTATGAAGGATGTATAAGAGATCAGAGTGTTCTCAGTGTCCTTGCTAACGTTGAGCCTACTTTCCTTACTTTGATACAAGAAATGTAAGGAAAACGTGATTGCCTAGTTTCTTTTGACGTGATACCAACCACATAGCAAATGGTGTCTCCAAAATTCTTTGTTGCTGCAGGAATGTCTTTACAATTTGTTACCTAGAAGGGATAAGGGAATATATAAACAGACTCATGGAGACACACTTAGAACAATGCCTGCATTGTTCAGTGTGTTTACTGCTGTGGAAATGTGTTTACCATGGCATTGCCTAGCAATGAAAGGAAGAATACACTTTACCAAGCCTTTGCCTAGCAACGATAGGAGGGATACACATTGAGACACACAGACAGGTAGGAGAGATTTATGAAGTATTCTGTTGAGAAGGGCTAAGTTGACATGAGAGAGGCACACACACACACAGTTTCATACAGTTGGTTCAGACATTCAAAAGTTAATAAGGGGGATTCATTGCCACAGAGATAAAACCAATTTTTGCTTTCTGCCTAGTTTCCTAAACTAGGTTTATGAAATTTCTATGCTGTCTGTCTTCAATCACCCCTATTAACTTTCGAATTCTTAAACAAATCTTTGTGAAACTTAATGTGTATATCATGGCAACTTATTTCTTATTTAACTTTTATGGTATGAATCCTGTTGTGTGTCATATGAAAGATATATAATGGGACAGTCTACAAAACAACAATTCTGAAAGAGACAAAATAGACATTACTATGTCAACATTTGTTTTTATTAGCTGCTGGTGGTAATGCCACATGTTTTGACTCTTCTCTTGTGTTGCCTTCAGCCATACAAGAATACTGGTACTAGTTCCTGAATTGTGTCATCAATCAATTTGAATTCACATTATGTTTGTATTAATTTTTATACTAACAAATACAAATGTGGCTTAAGTATAGTTTAAAACTTGACATTAAAAGGATAACATTAAAATAGCGATTAAAGTATTTATAACTTATGTCTTATTTAAGACATTGTGACTGCTACATAATCCATACGTGTTGTTTGGTCCTTCCACTGTGATAGTGATGGTTGTGACGTGGGGTAATTACACGCTGGGGTCTTGCCTCAGAATCTGGGTCGTGTTGGTTTTTGATCTTTCTACTATCATGTGAAGGCTATACTCATTCTGACTATCACTCTGGGATTGTTTATATGTGGAGCTGGATATTCAAATTTGATATTCTTTATATATACAGTTCCCCATGGTGGAGTTATTATTATGCAGTAGCGGTTCTGTCTGAACAACACAATATGAATTGATATTGATAAATGATGCAATTCAAGAGCTAGTACCAGCATTTGTATGCCTGAAGATGACCCAAAGAAAAGGTCAAAACATGTAGTGTTACCACCAAGAGCTAATGTTGACACAATAGTTTCTATTCTGTCTTTCAGAATTATTTTTGTGAAGATTGTACCATTATACAGGGTGTTTCACGACTTTAGGGCATAACTGCAGGAGGTGATTTCCTAGGTCTTTGTGATCAAAAAAGTTCATATAAACATGTGTCCGATTTTGGACGGTCACGGAGTTATGACCGTTTTAAACTCAGAATAGAAGGTAATGATTACTGACAATAAATGGAACAAAATAATAAACCAGCATAATACATGATACATTTAAAGTATGAATGTAAAGTTAACTTCGTGAAATTACCTTTAATTTGAATTTATTGGTGCTTAAAGCTGATTTTCGAAAATGCCACCGCCGGCCACAACACAGGCTGCTGCTCGGTTGTGAACCGCGCGGGTCTGTGGCCGGACATACCAACCCATCACGCCTTAGGTACCTCTCAAGTGTCTAGATAACGAGAACGCTCTGTCTGTAGCTGGCTAAGAATAGTGACCTGCCAGATGATAGATGCGGTTCACACGAGGGCGTGTACGGGAATGAAAAAACGGTCATAACTCCGTAACCGTCCAAAATCGGACACACGTTTATATGAATTTTTTGATCACAAAGACCTAGGAAATCACCTCCTGCAGTTATTCCCTAAAGTCGTGAAACACCCTGTATATCTTTCCTTTAACTTACCTCTTCTCAAAGGCATACTTCATAAATCCATCCCATCAGTCTGTGTGTCTGTATGTGTATTCCTCCTATTTCTGCAAGGCAACCTTTTGGTTAAGTGAATCCCTCCATTCAGTGCTAGGCAATGGCTCATTAAAATATGTTTTTCCATGGCAATGAATACACACAACAATGGAAGAATTGTTGGACATGTAATTTTCTATGTGGGCCTTTTGTCAAAGGAAAAAGGTCTCTGGCTTTCTCTGTTTACCTGCCTATCATTGCTAGGTAACAACTTGCTACAGACTTTCCCAGGGCAATGAGGAACAGCTGGAGATTCTGTTTTCTGTGTGGTCCATGTCATATCAATGGAAAGTAAAATGATTCATAATTTTGGAAAATATATTCCACTGAAGTTTCTGATTGACTCAGATAACTGAAACTTGTCTTTTAGCTCTCTTGTGGTACATATATCCAACTCATCACAAGGCAGCACACTCAGGATCCTCGTATCCCTTAAAAAAAAGTGGATATAGGAAATCAGATTCAAGAGATTCGGTTACAGCATATTCTGATGAAGAATGTTCACAGAAAGTACTGAAATGACAACACTTTGAAATGCTTTGACTGCTGCAATAAAAACACATGAATTTTTCATACCAGAGAATATAGCAACAAAGTTCAAAACAGATGTTCCTTAATAACTATTTTTTTTTCATCATTGTCTGAAGCTGTTTCAGTGGCGGCAAAGGTAACTTCAGGATCACAGTGGAGGAAGCCCTGGAGCTAGAGACAGCTCCTACTTGGTGGCAGTACTGATGTAGCCTAGAAGAAGAGAACCAAAACATCAGGTCAAGATAAGCCATTTCTTTACAATGAACTAAACTGAACTACATACCCATTTTATTATTAGATACTTTTCCCATGAGAAATTTTCACACACACTGTATTTAATATAAATTCAGATCTAGGGTCATGTCATTTTTCACCACGCGTAGATAGAGGGACAGAAATACACTGTCAACAAATTGATTCATGCTAGCAATGCCAACCATAACAATTCTGAAGCTACTGCATTAAGTGAAAGCAGCCTATCTAGAAGTTTCTGAAGTTCAAAACTGAAAAAATTATGTTCAAACTGAGACTGTGGTTTCTTTTTTCCTGATCTGATATGGAGAAGTCAAGACTAGCACATGCCTAACACGTTTACATACACTGTGGCTTGAAAAAGGGAGAAATATGAAACAAGCTGAAAATATAGAAGGCAGCAGTCTTGTGATACCCCAGAAGCTATTCGTGAGTCTGAAAATTTTCCCTAAATTTATCAGAGCATGTTCTCACAGAATCAGAAGAATTGGTGCTTAAGAGAAGGCTTAATTTTGCAGCAACAAATAGAGTGTCTAATTTGGAGATGGCAAGTGAGGCAGAATCTGCAAGGTCCAAACTTTGCTCTGCCTTGGGTGTGGAGTTCTGTTGGAGGATTCGATGTACATGGTCTGTTTAAAAAGTTCTGGAACTTTTGCAATACTGCACAAACCTGGCATCTTAGTAATGTTGGGTAAGCTGTGCTAACTGGTGGCATGCTTCCTAATTATCATCCTTCTTGCTGCATCATCCTGCTGTGATTAATCACTGCCCTACAGCTATTTGTTCACATGCGAGGAGAAGTGTGTCTTGCGATATTCGAGATGGCTGATATTCACGAGCAGTGTATTAACATTAAATTTTGCTTCAAACCAGGGAAAACGTTTACAGAGACTCACTAAATGATGAAAAATGGTTATGCTGATCAGTACATGAGCCACACACATTGTTATTAACAGTTTATGCAATTTAAGGATGGTAGGCAGTCAGCACATGATGAGGCGTGTTTGGAATGGCTCTCAACATGTGACGATGCTCAAGTTGCACAAGTTCGTGAAATCGTGCGTTTTAATCATTGTTGGCAGTGCGGTAAATAGCAGAAGAGTGCAACATATTGATCAGATTATGTCATGACATTCTTATGACAAAAATGAAATGCATCAAGCAGTTTTCAAAGTTTGCCCCACATCTGACACAGGATCAGAGAGACAGCTGCATTGCCTTCTGTCAGGAACATTTGGATCATGCTAGTGAGGATGAAAACTTTCTGAAAAAAGTATAACTGGTGATGAAACATGGGTTTGTGGATGCGATGTGGAAATGAAAATGCAGTCTCACAATGGGTTGGAAAAGATTCTTCAAGATGAGGCTGAACGTGAAAGTCATGTTGACAGGGTTTTTGACATCGAAGGTGTTGTGCGTCATGAATTCTTACATCGGGGGCAAACAGTGATGTGCTGGTATTATCTTGAAGCGCTGAAACATCCAACGGAAAATGTCAGGTGAAAAAGATCTCAGTTGTGGAGAAACAACTCCTGCTTCCCCCATCATGTTAATGCACCAGCTCATGCATCGCTACTGATTCATGACTTTTTGGCCAACACGAACACAAGTGTGCTACCTCAGCCACCCTATTCACCCAACCTGGCTCCAGCAGGCTTTTTCTTATTTCCCAAAGTGAAAATCACTTTGAAAGGATGATGATTTCATATGATTCAAGAAAATGGAAAATTCTCAGATGGAGCTATGTACAATCCCGAAAAATGTGTACCACGACTGTTTCCAGAAGTGGCAACGGCATTGGGAGTGGTGCATCGATGCAGGAGGGAATACTTTGAGGGTGATATGGCTCATTCAGTTGCTGGCATGTCCGAAAAAACTGAAGTGTGGAAAAACCGACAGGATCAATGTATACATTCCCAACGAGACTATTCTGAAGGAGATGGCGGCCAACATTGAGTAAATTAAGCTAGCATTTCTTTCTTGACCTCTCTGCTTGAGAAATCAAAATTATACAAAATACGGTGGAAAGAAGTGGAGGTCTTGCAGATTGAACCACATACCAGCTACATGAAATATAAGGAATCTGCCCACATCTCTAATAGATCATCTGGTCAGTCAACCCAGCTTAGACATCTCTCCCATCTGGACTCCCATTACAGCAGAAGTCAGAAAACTACAACTCCATCAACTGTAGATTATGTGTGAAAATTGTGTTATCAGGTTGGTACCATAAATAGCATTTGTCTCTTTAGTGATGACTTCCATTCTGATAGTACTAATTTTAACAACTCCATCAACTGTAGATTATGTGTGAAAATTGTGTTATCAGGTTGGTACCATAAATAGAATTTGTATCTTTAGTGATGACTTCCATTCGGATAGTTCTCTGGGTTTAACAACAACAGTTGTCAAATAGTGCATGGATACGGGTGCTAGACCTCGTACGTCGAGTTTTATTAATGTTTTTAATGTTTATCTTAACTCTCACAGATGGTATTTTACAGTGCTTGGTTTATATATTGTACACTGTGTTGGCATTGGTGTCTGGAGATAGGGACTAGCTATATTGATTGGGCCCAAGAGACTAGGCTGCATCTGACGATGGAGACAGAATCCAGTCCACAAAACATTGTTTTTTAAATAAAAACAGGATGATGGATAATGTCCAGAAACAACAATCGTAGAAATACAACTCTGTTGAAAGAATATGTTTAACAGTATGAAAAATGTATGGAATGTCTAGCCATTTGAAAATAATGACTGAATTCAGGTTAATGGCAAAACAAAATTCTTTGACTATTACAACACTCCATTCTACTCTAATCTGGGACCTCTTTTGTTTTTAATGTTTATAAACGATTTGCCTAAAGCTGTTCATGAAGCAAAAGTTGTTTTATTTGCAGATGACACCAATATACTAATTATTGACAAAAATCTTAAATCTTTAAATGATAAAACTATAGTTTCTATGCATCAATTAGAAAATTGGTTCGCAGTAAATCATCTTATTATTAATATTGAAAAGACAAAAGCACTCTTTTTTCAGGGACGTGGTCCCCGTCAAATTGATAAACCGGAACTTTATTTGAATAATAAGAAAATAACATACACAGCTAATTTAAAATTTTTAGGTATATATATTAGAGAGAATTTAAGTTGGTTCTCTCACATTCACCGTTTAGTTCAAAAATTAAACAAAACCATCTATCTTATCAAATCCTTATGAGATTTGGTCAGTCTTCCAATTTTGAGAAGTGTGTATTTTGCGAAATTTGAATCTTTATTGAGATATGGTATTATTTTTTGGGGCTGTGGTCAAAAGGACATTCAAACTGTATTTAAAATCCAAAAAAAATGTTTAAGACTGATCAAAAGAGTCAATAACAGGATATCGTGTAGAGAATTTTTTGGTGAATTTAAAATTTTAACCTTAACTTCATTGTATATCTTTGAGACGTTGTGTTTTTTAAGGAAAAATAGGATATATAACATCTCGTATTCAGATGTGCACGGTTATAACACAGTACATAAGCAGAATTTGTATGTCCAACCATGTAACACCTCACGTTGTAAAAGGAGTGTGATTAACATGGGAATAAGATTGTATAATAACTTGCCCTCTCAAATAAGAAGTATTCAAGAGTTCAAGGTTTTTAAGCGTCAATTAAAGGATTACTTGTTGTGCAAAGCTTTTTATTCCCTTCAAGAATATTTTTACAAGAATTAGCTTAATAATAAAACAAAGATAATTAGGTAATTTATTTTAGCTATTGCATGTAATTTATAGTTTAGCTTTTGTTGCCTTATTATACTCATCCACTGTTTTATCATATTTAAAGGACTTATTATGTTATTTTTCTATGATTTTTATATTATTAGTCATTTGATGTGATGTTTAATCTCATATATTTTTTTAAAAAACTGACTTGTCCAATTGTACATAATGTAACAGTTATGGATGTTAAATAAATAAATCAACCAATCACTCAAAACACTCACCTCTTCACAGATATTGCAAGAGATTTGGACAGTAACTCAAGGTTGAGCTTGAACTGTGTAAGAAGAAGCCCAAGCACGATCAGGTAGCATAATGCTTTGTCCTTTAAGGAATTGGGTCGCAACCTGCACAAAGAGTTTATTTCTGATTCATATGGAACAATACATACTTTATGTGAATGGTCAAAGTGTTTATTTATTCAATTAATTAAGTGGTTTGAAGTCACTTCAGCAGCAGAGGTTATTTGCAACTCACAACAAATTAAATACATCAAACCTTACCCTAATTATGAAGAAAGCAGTCTTCTGGGATTTGGCACCGTGTATATGTGGTGTTAACCGACGTTTCGGAGGAACGTATCGCCTCCATCTTCAGGGTAGAAGGAAAAGTATAAGAAATCTGCAAGCGACAAGACCGTGAGAACGGTAAAAGTAGTCTGCTTTTACCGTTCTCACGGTCTTGTCGCTTGCAGATTTCTTATACTTTTTCTTCTACCCTGAAGATGGAGGCGATACGTTCCTCCGAAACGTCGGTTAACACCACATATACACGGTGCCAAATCCCAGAAGACTGCTTTCTTCATAGTCACCGCCATGAAAGCCTCAAATCTTACTTACCCTAATTAGGTTGAGCTTAAGTCAAAAGCTCATCTGAGAATGGCGTCAACATAATAAGGCACATAATTATAAGTTCCTATGATAAAATCATGGAGGCCTGTGACAGCTTATAATAAATACATGCATGGATACCTGTAGAAATACTTGAAACCGAAAATAATGAATTCTGAAAGAATAAATAGATCAGAATTATAATAAATGTGAGAATTTTTAACACTGGCATCTGTGAATAATCCTAAGGAAAATATACAATGTTGTAGCTCCAAATTTGCTTACAACATTTGGATTTTATTATGATGATGATGAGGAAATCAAGTGCTTTATTGTTTTATTTCATATGGCTAATGTGGAGTTTTAATATAAATTAATCTGAAAGCTACTGGTATTGATAAATTTAGAATTTGTCAGTTTAAACAGAAAGTGAATTCCAACTATGAGTAGAAAAAGTTCTTATATTCCTAGAGTTCAAAATCATGCACCAGTAATTAAGTTAAAGGACCAACAGTAGTCATAAGAGAATTGTGGAGAAGCCCACCCATAATGTAGATTAGGATGCTAATTCTGAACATCACAAATTCGAATTTTATATGAACAGAGTTGATACAGACAACTGATGTCAGTCTTAGGCCAGTTTTAGTGAGTATTACTGAAGTTTACCAGTGTAAACAGGATCAACATAATTGTAACAGCATGTTTTTCTACTATCCAGTGACTGTGTATATAGAAGCATGTGTATTAAATCAGTAAGTATTTTGCTGGGAAATCCTAACAAATAAAATATTATTTAGTGAAACCTGTGGTCTTTCCAAACATCCCTGAGATGCTCATGAAAACTGACTTGGGGGGGGGGGCTTAAAAGTAGTAAGGCAAAGGGGGTCAGGGAGGAAGAATAGAAATATGATTATAAAATGACATAGATGATGCATGGCAAAAACTAAAGAAAAGAAAAATTTTGATAACCTCCTTTGTATTTCATACTGGGACGTGGACTGACATACCTCGATGGGAAGAAAATATCGATGTACATGAAGAGTCTATTCATACGAATAAACATATCTGTATTCACCACAGAGTTAGTATTGCTTCTTCACTACATTGGATAATCCTTACCATATACTATTTACCATCACCAGCCATGAGAACAAAATGTACCTACCTGCCATTTGCAGATTTCATTGTAAATGTACTGATGATTTTGGAGTTGATATCCTCTGAGTATGGACAAATAATGTTTTTCTGTTTTTGTAAACTTTTAACAGATGTATTTAGGAACTTAATGAGCAGATCAGCATACAGTAAGGCACACACAGCTTCAAGCACTTGCTCACTGTTACCAATGTTCAGCAAGTTTGGAAGGGTCTCCCGGAAAAATAAACTGAACCTATAACATGACAAACAGCAACTATTATGATAAAATTCTATGCTTACACTATTCCTCTATTCCTACTGAGCAGGCTAGCTTAGAAATTGATTAGTTAATAGGTTATTTAATGACATATCAACTGCACAGATTATATAACACTAGAAAAGACATAAAAATGATTATGTGCAGTGACTTCAGTAGTACTCACGGCCATTTCAGTACACATATGTACAGTATCAACATTCACCTGGAAGATCTGAAGAACACTCTTGTCAGGAGAGCCAGTGATCAGGCCAACACATGTATCGGTTACAGTCCAAATACAAACCAGGCAATGATTCTCATGATAGAATTATGAAATGAATATTTATATTATAGCACATTGCTATCTAAAGACTAACACATACTGATCTGTATCATCATTCTGTATGAAGTGAACTGCCTTTTTGAGAAAACATTAGGAACAGAAAATCTACTACTTTATATGCATGTATAAGAAAAATTGACAAAATATAAATTTAGGCATCCAATTTAACTGGCATCATTTTGGATCAGAAGAACTCTGATGAACCATTTGGTGGAAACAAAATAGCAAAAATGAGAATAAGATATATCTCAGAGAAAATGGTTAAGGATGTGAACTAAACTGATACTAGTCTGTCATCAGTTATTATTTGCATTCCAAGTGGTACTCCCATAATAATGATTAACATTTGTGTATGCTTCAGGAGCTGGGATAACTAAATTAATGTAGTAATGAGACTACAATTTTGATGACTGGGGTTACAGCAGGAAGAGGAATATTTTCCTCTTTATCGCCACATCCAGTCTGACTCTGGGTCACACCCTGCCTTATATCAAATGGGTACTGGGGGCTTTTTCCCCCTTTGTAAAGCAGCCAGGACATGAAACTACCATCAACATCTGCTCAGTGCTCACATTAAGAGCTATATCATCATTCCCCCCTACATCATCATGGCTCGGTACATAAGTAACCTATGTTGTCCACTTATAGGGGATTTTAAATCCCCAGTACTATGAGGCTAGCAACTGAATTTTAGCTCAGAGATTATCATTTTATCTGGGAATAAGGAGATTACAAATCTCAAGGCAATAGGGGGCTGGCAGCCAGACTTCAGCTCAGGAATATTATTATTGAAAAATGCAATGCTAGGCCACATGTATGTGCCACTGCAGTAATGCAAAGCAGAACCAGTAAACATTACATACAGAAACAACTTTACCTTTATATGCTACAAGCATTAGCCTCCTCCTATCAAAGACTTGGGTTGGAGGCTATGCTGGCCAGCAAAAATTTAATAACACAAGACATACCTCTGTGCTCAGGATTAAAAACAGAAAGCACACAAAATCAAACTGTTTGCACTGAAGTGCCTTCTCTAAACACATGCAATAAATACTTATTTGTAGTTTATTTAACAATGCTGTCAGTTACTCAGAGTACAAAACACAAAACAAGAGGATGGCAGTGAACAATGAACCGGAAAATACGAGAAAGGAAGCAGTTATGATCTAATTTAAGGTACTATCCTGGAATTTACCTGGAGTGACGGAGGAAAACTACGAAAATCTCAGTCAGGATAGGTGATGTCTCAACAAAAATTCAACCAGATACCTCCATAGTATAAGTCAGAAGTGTTACCACTTTGGCCAACGTTATGTGTACACATGCAAGAGTAAACCAGACTACAGGCACCAGCCGGCTCAAACTGTCTCACATGATCAGCTCAATGTTGAGAGGGTCAAGCCAACTATACTCACCCCTCATTCTGTGGCTCCTTCATAATTCTAACAGCCTCTTCCTTCAGAGATGCCAGCTCCTCAGCAGACACTATGTCATGCAAGTTGTAAACACCATCAACTGTAGCTGCATCTCGGTTCATAGGAGGAAGGTATGCTTCATCTGAAGCATTAACAATTGGCTGCAAACTGGCTTGCTCAACAGACACATTGTCAATGGCATTTTTCAGCTTATCCTTCAGAGCATCAGTATCTGTCCGTGTGCGCATGTAGTTTTCTAATAAACGCTGCTGCTTTCTGGAGCCAAACTTCATGCGGAGTCGATCTTTGTCTTCTTGTGTGACCACTGACACAGAACTAGTCTTTGCCACATGAGAGACAGGGGACAGCATGACGCTTGTTGTTGGAAATATCCGCACCTGCCATATGAGTACCAAATGTTTACAAACAACCCAGCTTACTTCAAGAGTAAATAAATTATTATGCAGCCTGAACTAGGCAGAATTTACTGGCTTCATGGTACAGTTTGCCTCAAGAAGTTGATAATCATTCACATGGAAAGAAATTCTATGTTTTTACAGAATTTCTAAATCAATACCCATGCTCGCAACTGCCCTCCATTAGACCCCTATCATGAGCCAATTCGATTCACTTTACATCCTCATAAACTACTCCCATGAGATCCATTTTAATGTTATCTTCCTATCTTCAAAGTATTACAAACATTTCTTGGAGATTTCCAGACCAGAATGATGTAAATATTTCTTGTTGCTCCATGTATTCTGAATACCAGACAGAACTCATGCAAATGACATATTACCCTGCAGTGTGTGAAGACCTGAGTTTGGTTATATAATATAAAATGCGGCCAACAGACGGTGCAGTAAGCTTTATTCCATTTGCATCAAGAAATGAATCCATTTTACTACAGTGTAGCATGCAGATAAAAAATAATTGCAAGCCAATTAACTAACTTTTCACATCAGTGTCTAATCATAACAGAGACAATAGCTCATCTACAGATCTCTCAGCTGTGCTCACATGTTATAAATCCTACATCTGAGAACTGCAATGAACAATCACCCCTACATCCTCCCCAAAAAGACAGAGTCATGAATACCTGTTACTAATCGCTGTCAAAACACGAATCCGCTTATTAAATATTAATTACCTAAAGAAATCTCATTCAGTACTAACAAAAAAATCTAACTGGAAAAAATTTATGTATGACAATTAACTCACTTTCTCTAGTTCTACTTTATTTGACATGAACTGCCATCTGAATAACATGTTACCAAAATGACTGTAACAGCAACAATGGTTCATGAAGAGAGAAAAAGTTGGTCCAACATGTACCATGCTTCCATATGCCAAGTGTATATTTTAAAATACTTATTTATAAATACAGCATATTGTATTTATAAGCAATAAACAAGAGTAATGTAACCAGTGTTGGTTCAGAGGAAGAATCAACATAAATTCTCCCACACCCATCAATCTATCAGCTTTTATTCTTCACCATGCCCTCCTCAACTAGAACCAATTGCCACTTGTATTCTGCCCTGGTCTGTTGTGAATTTATACTAACAAGATCATGTAACAGTTATGGTTTATTTTATGATTCCATCAATATCTCAGACTATATAGTGTCAAAAAGTAAGATGACTGAATAATGAACTAGAGTTCCTGGCATTTGCCTGGAGGGACTGAAGAAAACCACAAAAAGTCTAAGTCAGAACAGGTGGTGTCTCAGCAGAGATTCAAACCAAGCATCTCCCAAACCAAATCCAAGAGCATTACCACCTCATCAATCTGCTCAGGTCAAACAATGTAATTTAAATTATATTTTATTTAAATGTTCATTCTCTCCCTGATATGAGTGAAAGTTTGAAGTTAATATTTGTGAGACTTTTTATATAAATACACCTTATACTGAACAGCATCTGTAAGGGGTATGTACTTCTGTAATATGGGCAGATAATACAGTTTACTTGTACTGACTTCCCATTATCTTTTGCCCCTCATGAGTGATGCTTAGCTTTAGAGCTCTAAGTGTTGTGCAGGAAGTGTGTAGTGTATTGGTTGAGAAGTAACCAAATCTACAATTTTAACTGTAAACATAACAGGTATCATGAAGAATGTGCCAAGGCTGTTCAGATAATAATCTTACCTTATTGGTTCTCTTGTTCCTTACAGCTATCAGGTTCCATGCTAGCTGGCTGTCAGCTGCTGGCTCAGTGCCACTAAAAACATGGTCATCATCCAAAGCCACTGCCACTACATGTTTCCCTGTCTTTTTGTGTGCATAAAGTCCACATTTCACTTTGTGAGCTTCCTCTGGGATCAATTCACCATGTTGAAATGAAACTGTTGACAGAAACATAAATTCTTCACTGTAATTTGGTGCAGAATTATGGTTATGGATGAAGGTTGGGTGTGGGCAGGAGCTGCTACTGTTTATGTGGTGGCATCAAGTCCTCATGAGTGGCAAAGGACTGATGTTGAGCCTTGATCTTTAAGTATGTATAGATGAGTAACATAAACTGATCAACTCTGGCCAATGTTTGATGATTTTATCGTCATTACATATAAATACTGAACATTATAAACTGGCAGATAGTTTCTGCAGGGTTAAAGATAAGCATGGGGGTTCTTGTATATTTGTTTCTAATGTAATAAATTGTAGGGAGGTAATCTTTTCAAAGAATTTAGGAAAGGATAAAGGACTTGAAGCATCAGCTTGCAAATTAGTTGATTTTAAAATTATACTAATTTTATATATGCGGGTTTGAACCCGCGTACCACGAGTCATGAGGTGGGAGCGTTACCTCTAGACTATGGAGGCCGCTTAATAAATGGGGTTACTCTGAACAATATAAGATGTGAAGCCAGTAGGCATTTCAGGAATAATAAGAGGGAAAATCTGAAAGTCAAAATTAATGTGCTTGCTAAAAATAGTAAGAACAAGAATATTAGGGGCCTGTATAGAGAAAAAAAAATAATTTTGGAAGGGTTACAAACCTAGAAGTAGCTTAGTACAGGATGAAATGATAATCTGCTTGCAGATTCCCACAACATTTTCATTAGACTGAAGAACTACTTCTCTCAGTTATTGAATGTTCATTGGGTCAGTAATGTTAGGCAGATAGAAATGCATATAGTTGAACTGTTAGTACTTGATCCTAGTCCTTCTGTGGTTGAAAATGCAACTGCAAAGTTGAAAAAGTATAAATTGCCAATTAGTGATCAAATTCTGGCAGAACTTATTCAAGCAGGAGGTCAAATATTATGTTCTAAGATCCATACTTACTTACTTACTCATGGAGCTGAGCCCTTCTTGAGGAGCCGCCAATTCTGCAGCTACTCAAGAATTTCCCAGCATTTCATGGAACCCTAAGGTTCATCACCGTGTTCACAAGAGCCCTCCACTGGTCCCTATCCTCAGCCAGATCTATCCAATCCACATCATCCCATTCTATCTCTCTAAGATCCAATCTAATATTGTCCACCCACCTACGTCTTGGTCTTCCCTGTGGTCTCCTTCCTTCTGGCTTTCCCACCAATATCCTATACGCATTCCTCATCTCCCCCATTCGTGCTACATGACCTGCCCACCCCATCCTCCTTGACTTGATCATTCTAATTATACTTGGAGAAGAGTACAAGTTATGAAGCTTCTCTCAAGGTTAAGTCCATACATAAGATGAAATTATTGGGAATCATCAGTGTGGGTTTTTATGTAACAGATCAATTACTGATCACATCTTTTGCATTCGTCAGATACTGGAGAAAAAATGGGAGCACAAGGAGACAGTACATCAGCTATTTGTAGACTTCAAGAAAGCCTATGATTCAGTTAGGAGGGAAGTATTGTACGATATTCTGATAGAGTTTGGGGTACCCATGAAACTAGTTACGCCGATTAAAATGTGTTTAAACAAAACATATACTAAAGTTCGTATAGGTAAACATTTGTCTGATAAATGTTCCTATCCAAAATGGTCTGAAACAAAGGTATTCTTCATCGCCGTTGCTTTCCAACTTTGCTTTAGCATATGCCATTAGGATGGTCCAAGAAAACCAGGTGGGACTGAAATGAAATGGGACAAATCTGCTTCTGGTCTATACTGAATCTAGTGGTGACAACACAGACACCATAAAGACAAACACAGAAACTCAAAATTGATGCCAGTAAGGAGGTTGGCCTAGAAAAGAAAAAACACAGAGAAAACTACACATATGTTTCTGTCTCATCACCAGAAAGCACGGAAAAATCATAACATAATAACAGGTAATAGATCCTTTGAAAATGTGACACAGTTTGAATATTTTGCAATGACACCTAAAAATCTGATTCATGAGGAAAACAAAAGGAGGTTGAATTCAGATAATGCTTACTACCATTCAGCCCAAAACATTTTGCTTTCTCCTCTACTGCCTGAAAACATAAACATTAGAATACACAAAACTATAATTTTCCCTGTGGTTTTGTATGGGAGTGAAACTTGGTCTTTTATATTAAGAGAGGAACAAAGACTGACTGTGCTTGAGAACAGGGTGCTGAGGAGAATATTTGGACCAAAGTGGAGTTAAGTGACAGGAGGTTGGAGAAAACTGCATAATGAAGAGCCTCTTAAGTTGTACTGTTCACCAGATATAATTAGAATTATCAAGTTAAGGATGACGCGATGGGCAGGTCATGTAGCATGAATCAGGGAGAAGACAAATGCATATACGACACTGGTGGGAAACCCAGAAGGTAAGAGATGGCTAGGAAGACCGAGATGTAGGTGGGTGGATCATATTAAAATAGATCTTAGAGAGAATAGTTGGGGTGGTATAGACTGGATCTATCTGGCTCAGGATAAGGACCAGTGGCAGGCTCTTGTGAATAAGATAATGAACCTCGGGGTTCCATAAAATGTTGGGAAATTTTTAAGTAGCTATGCAACAGGCGGCTTCTCAAGGTCTCAGTTCCGTGGAGTTTTTTAAGTACACGTTACATTACTTCACCATTCTCAAGTTTTTCCCACACTGGTAGGCCTTTTTAAATCAATTTCTCTCTATATATGGATGATTTTCTGTGACCATCGCGTACTTCACAATTAATTTTATGTTCGAGACATCCACCTATTCTCCTTCTAAAATTCTTCCATTGGACAGTGTCCAGCTCGGTCCAGCTTGTAGAATCAGTGGGCGCAGTACCGAGTGGACCCAGCTGGACTCCACCCCCCACTAAGCGAAAAATTTACTCTCATGTTGGTAACACTTTAGCTATCGAAAATTAGTTGGAAACTGGGGAGTTTAGGCCGTTAAGGCATTGCGATATACACCGATATACAATGCACGTGAGTATATTCATCAAATGATACATATGAAAACTGTGGCATTCTGAATCCCAGGAAACGTACCTAAAATAGCCCGGTCATCAAGGCTTGCGACTTCAGATATGTGACACTTGACTGGTTTCATTGCTTCGGTATGACGATCCTCCTCTTCTTCCAGCTTTGCACACTTCATAAAGAAATCAAGAAATATTAACCTACATCACCAACGCTACATTCTCTCTAGCCGCTCGCTACTCTCAACTTTACAATCATTATGCCATCATTACGCACATACAGCGCGCTCTGGCGGCAGTCACTTGCTAGGTTCCCAAGACCCTTGTTGGTACAGAAAATTCAAACGGAGGCTGTCGCAGCTAGTGAAAAGAAGAGGAAAAGTGGGAAAATGGTGAGTCTTATGTTTACGGTTTAATCACTCTTAAACCTGATTAATCTAATTGGATGGGTTTTATTCAATCGTTCATTTAATTTTATACAGTCTTCGGTTTAATCACATTACCTTTAACCAGACAGGCAGAAGGCTTTAAATTGTTCGGACTGTGTAACCTTGAATTATATCACGAGTATGAAATAGTGAGCGAGGGATCTGAAAGAATACGATAGCGGTCTGGTACAAGAAATTGGCGTCACATGTGCCTTTAGGGGCTGAGGAAAGACACGAAAAATATTGAGTAAGTGGGTCATCACATCGGGATTTGAACCCGGTATATCCCAAGTATGAAGCAGTATTGCTAACCACTCGGGCGCTACATACAGCCAGTTGATATTTAAGATAACATCTGACATGCTTGCAGTTTGAGTATGGTATGACAGTAATATTGAAGCTGTCCTGGCTTGGTCAGTATGGCGACGGGCTGTTGACTTGACTGCCGGGGTACGATTCCTGGCAGGGTCAAGGGATTTTTCTTTTCCCCACAGTGTTCAAGTCGGCTTTGGAGCCCTCCTGGCCTCCTGTCCAATGGATACCAGGGACTCTTTCCTCAAGGGTACAGCGGCTGGGTGATGAAGCTGACCAGACCCCTATCTTGTGCTGGTTATGAAGCAGGGTCCCGAAGCCTGCCCATACTGGTTGTTATCTGCTCTTCAAGCCCAACCACCCACATCACGTAAAAAGGGGAGTCATTTATAGTTTGGTCAACTGAGCGAAGGTCATATGTCAGAATCAGAAGGATTTTAACAGTGTAATTAAAAATATAAGATATGATCTGATCCTAAGTGAATATTCAGAAGAATTTGTTGACTCTAATGAAGCCATCGGCAAGAAATCGTCCTTCTTCAGGCACAGTATACCAAGGCGCTGTCATCATCCCGTATGTTAAGGGTACTTGTGAGAAATTCAGACACATGGAGAACCATTTCCATCTCAGAGCCATCTGCAAAACTAAAAATACATTCTGTGGGACATTGATGAAAACTGGACTGGTTAGAGATGCGTAGCAGACAAAGCAGTGTGCATACAGCATCCCATGTGATTGTGGCAGGTGTTACATTGGTGAAACAAGTAGATCTTCAGAAGTATGCATTAAAGAGCACAAATATAATCTGACACAGGGTCTGCTTGAAAAATCTAAATGAGCTCAACATGCATATGAGAAGGGCCACAAAATGTTGGAATGAAGCGAAGGTCTTGCAGATTGAGCCTGACATCATATACCGGAAATACAAGGAATCAGCCCACATGTCTCTGCTGGACCATCTGATAAGTCAACCCCATTTGGACATCTCTCCCATCTGGACCCCTGTTATCACAGCAGAAGTGAAGAAACTAAAACTCCATTAAGTGTAGTTTTGAGTGGGAAAATTTGTTTTTCTTGTGTTGGTACCATAAGGAGTATTGCTTCTCTCCAGTGATGATTTCTATCATAATACTTCTCTGGGGCAAGACCTCATATGTGTGGAGTTCTAATAATTTAATGTTTTCTTAGCTGTCACAGATGGTTTGTGCTGTGTTCGGCTTTTACTGTATCATCTTGAGGTTGGTACAGGTGTCTGGAGATAGCGACTAGCTCTATTGTTTGGGCCCAATTGCATAGGTTTTACCTGAAGATGGAGACAGAATCCAGTCTCTGAAACACTGTGTTTTTAAAAATAAACAGGACATATTTTTAGATAAAGACAGAATAACGGATAATGTCCAAGAACATAATATTTGTTCTACTTTGAATGACCAATTTCATCACCCTGGGTCATCTGTTCTAGCTGCACTGAATGCATTTCTTTTTATTCTGACAGTTTGCCAACTTTTTGCGTGCACTATAATGAAAATAATATTGATCAGCTTGTTTTGTTCGTTGATGGGTGAGATGTGTTACCATGACAACACTTTGAACTGGGTTGCCTTGTGAGTCAGTAAAACATAGATAAATAGGCATCTGTTGAATGATTTCACCGAGATCATATGAAGTGTATCTGGCCACATGATATTCTCCTGCCCTGTCACCTTGACCTTGTTTATAATTGCAATAAAAGTTTCTTTTTAAGCACCCATTAAAACCTCAAAATCTGCCTGTCTGTACACTGAATGGATTTTCATGAAGTCTGATATTTTTGTGTTTCACTAGAATCTGTTGGCATATTCCTATTTTGCTTAAAATTGGATTAAAAAGTGGATTTTTATGTGAAGACCTGCATTTGTTTCTGCATCCATATTGAGCATAGAAAAGGTAAAGGTAAAGTTATCTCTGTGCTTAGTGGCCTCCGTAGTCTAGAGGTAACGTTCCCACCTCATGACTCGTGGTACGCGGGTTCAAATACCTGGCGGAGGTCGTCGAATTTTTAAGGGCGGAAAAATTCAGGGAACAAGTCCTCCGGGAGGGACTTTAGGCCATGTGCCCCATGTCGTAACTTTACGGCACATAAAAAAACCTCATTCCAGGACGTTTCCCGCCCAACAGTAGTCTCTAAGGCCTCTGATAGATGGGGGAAGCATTATAGACATCATCAAGCGAGGCCAAACTCGCTTGCTCGGCAGGACTGATGGTACGCACCATTATCGGTAGGGTATAGAGACTGGTAGAATATCATAGAGGGAAGCACAATGGACCAATACTGGTCTAAGTGCATGGGGAAACCCACCCTCTCCAATAACTAACTAACTATCTCTGTGCTTAATTAAGCACCACGTAAGGAAAATGTTGTGGAGTGGAGGTATAGCTCCACCATTTTTGACCTCAGCTCTAAATGGAGGTGAGCGGTCAGCTTCACGCCATGGCCACCATACATCCAGAGAAAGAGCCCTTGGTACCCATTGCATAGAAGGCTGGGTGGGCCCCAGAGCTGGTCTGGACGCTGTGGAGATAAGAGAAACCACTTGCCCCAGCCGAGAATCGAACTCTAGTCACCTAGTCTGTAGCCTGTTGCTGTACTGATTGAGCTCTCTGCTTGTAGTGTAACTCACAAAATATTTATCAGAGGTAAACTGTTTCTAACAGAAGTTCTAGAAAGACATCATGGAAAGTTAAACAATTCCGTCTAGTGTGACAGGTGAAGATTTTCTTATTTATAAAAACAACACAGCACACCACAAAGACATACAGGACAACATGGTGACACACATTCGGCCCCCGTCAAGAGAAATAATAAAACGACACAAACCTGCTTGGTTTATAAATGCCAATAAAATCTTAACAAATCAATTACAAATATTTTACTGTATTGGAACAGCCGCTGTAGTTGTAAAAACTTCAGATTTTATGCCCAATTGTATATTATTATATGTATATATTTTAATGTTCAGAACATATATTGTAATAGTAACTTCCAACTGTACTGATGTAAAGGTGTCCCTCTGATGGTCTCTGAAGACCAAAACATGTAAGGGCATAAATAATTGAAATAAGAAAATCTTCACCAGTCACACTAGACAGAACTGTTTAACTTTTCATGATATTGTTAGTGTGACGGACCAGAATGAAACAAATCAAATTGTAGAAAGAAATTAAACATACACTGTATGTCTGGTACAAATTTTCCGCAAGGCTTGCTATTGGGTACATCATTAAACAACTGGTAATGAAGGGCATAGAATTCTTACACCATGCAGCCTTTTCAGAATGCATATGAGTGTACTGAACCCTCAGCACTGGTCTTGGATTTGAGATTCTTATAGCAGTGGCCATCTTCAATTTTGTAATAGTTATGTTGAGAATAGCCTGATTTTGTTCTGTCCTTTCTGATGTCATTGATATGTTTGGTAAAACTTCCCTTGAAGTTCCACCTGATTTGACTTGCATATTTCTTACTGAAGTCTAGACTTCTTTGTTATATGTATTTGTATTTTGTTTCTTGCATTTTAAGCACTTCATATCATTGGTTTTGCATGCATCCTTTATATTATTGTTACTGAAAAGTTTTGGAATTTTCTTTATGTCATGTCCTGCATAAGTGAATGAGATCCATGTACGTTTTCCCCTTCTGTTTTGGTTGGTGTGTTGGGTTTGCCATCCTTGTTTATTGTCTTATGGAAATTAAGTGGGTATTCATAATGTGTAGAATGTCTTTCATTGTTCATGATTATTTTTCCTTTGTTTTCTTTAAATAGCAGATAATTATTGTGAATATTTACAAAAAACTTTACTGCTAGTAATTTAAATTCATGGATGACAGGAATTGTGATTTATTATTATGTCACTGGCTGGTGGTTTCACAAATATGTTAAATGACAAATCATTGTCTTAATGATAGTCAAATCCAGAAAGTTAAGGGAATTGATTTTTTTCTGATTCACAAATGAAGTTGAATAGTGGGTGGGTACTACTGATCTCATCTCTAGTTTTCAGGCTACACCAGTCTGTATACGTACTTCTCAAAAATTTTTAAGTATGTTTTAAATATGTCAACCATCAGTGTATTTACAAAAGCCTGTTTTCTTATGGATTCATCCAGATAGAAAACTTACTTTTGAATATGTCCCTGATAACTAATAACACTTCGGTCATTACATGTCTTCCACTCTGTACCATCACATAAAACTATGCAGACATTTGAAGCATTGGAGTCAGCTGACAGAAAATTACATGTGTGGTTATGTTTTCAGTTGATGTAAGAAGTTATTTGTTATAATAATAAAATACTAGCAAATTACTGTCACAGGTTGGAAAACTGACTCCTGAGGAACGGACTTCAAAGCTGGATCCTCTTCTATCTAATGGCTGGTCTGTGGTGGATGCTCGTGATGCCATCTATAAGGAATTTTTATTCACCAACTTCAATCAGGTTTGTGTGTATTTCCCATTCAGCCCACTGGGATACCATTACAGTAATATTTTGGTTTTTTGATATAGTCTTCCATCTTGGTTAGTAATGTCAGTGACTGTGCATGCACATGCGTAGAAATAAATTTTTTGGAATCTGGCTGAACAAACATTAAAAAATAGTATTAGGAATTGCAAGGATTAGAAAGGAATTGAACATATATAAGTACTGAATTAGGAATAATAGAAATAACTGGATATGCCATGTGGAGAAGTCTTATCATGTAACTCGACAAATTAGTTTCATACATAAAGGAAGAAGAATCATTGGATGCCCAAAATTGCAGTGGAGGGATCAACTAGTTAAGTAGGACAGAATGAAAATGATGGTGATGGATAAATTATGGATTTCCTCATGATGTAATAACCTCAAGTTTCTTTCAATCTGGTGCACATGCAGTTTATGTATTCATATAACAATACCCCACAAAAATAAATCGTTACAGGCATTTGGTTTCATGACCCAAGTGGCACTTAAGGCAGAGAAGATGGACCACCACCCTGAGTGGTTCAATGTCTACAATAAGGTGCAGGTGACACTGTCATCACATGATGTTAATGGACTCAGCACACGTGACGTCCAGCTGGCCTCCTTCATGGACACAGTTGCCAAGTCACTGATCCCAACAAAGGACTGAACTCCATAGTCTCACTTTTGCTGGTGAAGGACTGTTCCATGATGCTACCTGATATCATTTTCACCTGAAACTCAATGAGTTATGCAAGAGGTGTTGAGAGTATGTTCTTTGTAATGTTGAGATCCCATCAAATAAAGCTGTTTATCTGTGTTGTGCAGATTCTTATTCCTTCTCCTATCTAACCATCAGACCGACCAGTCTCAAGTTGCTAATACCAAGCCTACCATTAAATCTAAATTTTAGGGTCTTGAAAACATGACATGATAGAAGTTTCTGAACTGAATAAGTGTGTCCTGGATTTAATATTTTCTTCCTTTATTCACAAATTGTATTTACACTTGCGACTGTTTTTTCTGTGTATTTAATTAAATTCTGAAACTTGGAGCATCGCTTTGTATGGGGCTGAAACTTGGACACTTAGGGCAGTAGATCAGAAACACCTGGAAAGCTTCGAAATGTGGTGTTGGAGAAGGATGGAGAAGATCAGTTGGACCAATTATGTGAGACATGAAGAAGTGTTATTTAGAGTCAGTGAGCAGAGGAATATCCTACATGAAATAAGAAAACGGAAGGCTAATTGGATTGGTCATATCTTATGCGGTAACTGCCTTCTAAAAGAAGTTATTGAAGGAAAGATAGGGGGGAGAGGGGCGAATAGAAGTGACCAGAAGACTAGGAAGATGCTGGATGACCTTGGGGACAGAAGAGGACATTTTCATTTGAAGGAGAAAGCTCTGGATCGCATCAAGTGGAGGAACTGTTTTGGAAGAGACTGTGGACCTGTCATCTTGACAGATTACAGATGAATGTCGTAACTGAACTAACTCTTTACAGTTGAACCCTTCTTGCGAAGCCACCAGTCACGCAACTACTTGAGAATTTTCCAACATTTTGTGGAACTCGAAGGTTCATTACTATGTTCACAGGAGCCCTCCACTGGTCCCTGTCGTAAGCCAAATCAGTTCAGGCCATAACACCCCATCCTATATCTCTAAGATCCATTTTAATATTATCTTCCAACCTATGTATAGTTCTTCCTAGTGTTCACTCTCCTTCTGGCTTTCCCACCAAAATCTTATATGTATTCCTTCTCTGTCCATGTATGCTACATGTCCTACCCGTCTCATCCTCCTTGACTTGATCATTCTAATCATACTTGCCGAAAAGTACAAGTTATGACTCTCCTCATTATGCAGTTTTCTTCAACCTATTACTTCATCCTTCCTCGGTCCAAATATTTTTGTTAGCACCCTGTTCTCAAGCACCCTCAGTCTATGTGCTTTCCTTAACCCTTACACTGCTGTGATCGACATATGTTGATCTCTAAAAAACATGGTGTCTTTGCTGCAATCGACAAAACACATATCGCGACTTTAGAGTTTCAGATCTCAGGTTTCTTTGCACCAATTTCATTCAAACTTGGCGGGTGCATAGTCATCTATTGGGAACGTAATGAAGCATCAGTCATTCCTATGGCTGCATTCTTCTACCCTCTAGCTTAAGAAATGTAAAAGGTTGCATCTGCACAGTGAGGCGCGCGCTCCGTGGTCATGTGGAGTGGGTATTTTACAGGGCTAGTAAAAGTGGCTTCATATAGGCGCAGTGCTTTCCATAATAGTTTTAAATAAAGTTGTGGACTTTGGTCAGCATGTGACATAGTGATAAGACTAAGCGGCCTCCGTAGTCTAGAGGTAATGTCCCCACCCCATGACTCGTGGTACGCAGGTTCAAACCCGGCGGAGGTCGTCGAATTTTTAAGGGGGGAAAAATTCAGGGAACAAGTCCTCCGGGAGGGACTTTAAGCCGTGTGTCCCGTGTCGTAGCTTTATGGCACGTAAAAGAACCTCATATCTCCAAAGGAGATCACTGAGCAAAATTCCAGGACGTTTCCCACCCAACAGTAGTATCTAATGCCTCTGATAGATGGGGGAAGCATTATAGATACGGCCAAGCTAGTGGAGGCCGAACTCACTGGCTCGGTCAGGACTGATGGTACACACCAATATCGGTAGGGTATAGAGACTGGTAGAATATCATAGAGAGAAGCACAATGGACCAATACTGGTCTAAGTGCATGGGGAAACCCACCCTCTCCAGTAACTAATTAACTAACTAGTGATATGACTAGGATAGTGAATTGTGTACTTTTTTGGCCATCTTGGACAACCCTGATTTAAATGGATTTTCCCCTGTGAAAAATACTGAATAATTTAACATTTTTGCAACTTCTGATGCCTGTTCCCTGTCTGAGGTAAGATTAGTTACATTTTACCACAAATTTTCATACTTTGCACTTAAATTTATAAAAGATATATTCAAAAATAATTCATCACAGTGGGTATTGAGAGTTACTTAACATACTAGCAGCAAAAGGGTTAATGTCAGATACCAAGTTTCACACCCATACAAAACTGCAGGAAAAATTATAGTTCTGTAATATTATATATCATATCCTATCACTAATGAACTCTACCCTCATAACTTTTGATACAATTCTCTTATGTACAAAAAAAGACCTGTGCCTAATTCATGATTCTCGTTCCCCTTTCCATAGAAAAACGTGTATTCTCCTGCTGGTTCAATGCCATCCCTGTCCCATATGACTTCCTGTACTCCCAATAAATTTAACTTACATTTTGATATTTCTCTTGCAACTATTATGAACAAACCTGCCCTGTATATACTCATGTTCCAGGTACTAAATCTCATATCCACTGTCCTTAGCTTACGTCATTTAGCCAAAGAACCTCCCCAAGTCCAAGGCCCTTTGTAACTATTTTTTATGCTGAGGAGTAGTTAGCCTCATGTCCAGCCCCCAAGCTGGAGGAAAACCCCTTGTCGGCTGTCCATGACTGCTTATTCAATATATTTGCAGCTACCCTTTATATCTGGAAGCCATCACCTCCATCTGAAACCCAAGGATGCCATACCATGGTGACAAGAGAACCATTTAACTTGGTTATCCTGCACTATGAAAATATTGCACATATTTTTCTTGTAACATGTTCATATGTATAGTTGTACAGTGAGCTGTGCATCATGGGTTAGCTGAACTTAATGGGAGAAATTTTTAACTCAGCCTGAACTAGAGCTCACAATAAATCTCTGGGTGTTCATCAATTTATATATATTTTCAGGCAAGCTTCTTCATAGGTTTGTAAAAGAACTAAACATTATTCTTTGTCATATGTGGTGTGACAAAGTTCATGAACTCATCACGGCAAAAGTGTTGTATACCTCATTGCTGAATATCACTGTGGTCACCGTCAAAGTACTACCCTTGGGAAGCTATGCACCGATGCAAGCGCTAGTCCACCCTTCAAAACAATTTTGGAACTGGTTTAGTGGAATGGCCTTCAGAGCTGCTGTCATATTACTCCTGATGTCATCAGTGTCATCAAAATGTCTCCTTTCAGTATTTCCTTTATCTTCAGGAACAGAAAAAGTCATTGGAGGCTAGATCCGGTGAATAGGGAGGGTGTTCCAGCACAGTTATTTGGAACTACAAGTAATTACAAGACTATCGCTAATCTCCACACTTTACAAATCACCACAGCACCTGCTAAGCCTTTTATCAGTCTGCTGTCTCTCCATTGGCCATTCCCTGGCAACAGCTTCATGCTCAGGATCCATCTTCACAGCCACTTCTGCAGAACTGAAACTCTCAACTGGCAATTAACTGGGTTGCCCCAATTTTCTTCAAGATAACTCTTTTGCATGGACCAAGTAGAAAACACCATTTCCAACAGTAACTGTTGTTGTAGAGTCATGTTTACCGCACTGTTGTATAGCAATAGCTATTGTCACATTGTTTTGAGGTCTTTGCCTAGCAATGGGTCTATATGCCACATTATGTTATTTTCTCTCCTCTATCCAATTACTTCCTATATTTCTATTGTCTCTCATTTAACTCTGTACCGTATTCCACCTAGTCGGCCATAAACACCTCCAAGAACTAAGTTTCTCAGTACTCAATTCACTTCTTTTTTGTGGTTCATTATTCAGCATTCTACTGCACAAATTAATACACTCATAAATGAATGCATGTCATTTAGTTCTTTTACTTATTCCCTACCCCATAAAATCAAATGCAACATCCTTGATGTTACTTAAGCTGTTGAGTTCTCCTGCTGGCCTCTTACCTTAAGCCAGCTGCATTTATTACAGAATGAAAGTACAGTAGAACTTGGTTATAACGTCATCAAAGGGACCTAAAAATAGTGTCGTTATAAACGAATGTCGTTGTAACCGAAATGGGCACTTCCACAGTAGCCTTATGTCAGTCACGTAAAATTCTACCAAAAACCGAGTTAAAATGTTGCATTTTTTAGTGAAATACGTAGTTAAGTACAGACTAACATAACATTAACGTGGAATTGCCCAAATGTGTAATATCAAAGACATATTACAGCGCTTTTCACTGACAATACACACCGCACTAATACTGTATATTAAAGGTAGGCCTACTCACCAAATTACAGTAGATTACATCAATTGTTGTGCCTTACTGTACCTAGATACGAGTACAGTAATCAGTTATCTTCATCTGTTTCCTGTTACTTGCCCAATACACACTTTCTAAATTACGTTCAATGTCCATATCAGAGAAATTCAGGAATGAAAATGACGTTACATACGAGGTTGATGCATTTGTGCATGTCGTACTAAGCAAGGTATAAAAACAGTTGCTTTATGAGGAATTAGTTCGTACCATTGAATATTTGACGCAATAGACAAGGTGTCGCAGAAACCGATGTTGCTATAACCAAGTTTTACTGTATTAAAAATCATTGCAGTGTTTTTTACACATTCATTTTCTATTGTGTCTATATTACTGTTATTTGCAACAGCAAAACAGTATCAACTCATTTATAATTTTATATCAAAGCATACAGTGTTTTGTACAAGTTTCAGCTCATGTACAGCACATTAAACTGGCCAGCATGAAGGGGTCTCTGTCTTCATAACCATTAGCCTTCTGGTGGAAAATAATCTTGGCCACTCTAATGTTCGCTTAACAGACTGAGAGAAAAGAAGCAGGCCAAGAATGGAGGATCATGTAACTGTAACTTATTTACACAGCATAGCTAGTGCTGTTAGGGTAGTCATAGTGGCCTCTGTAGTCTAGGGGTAATGTATCCCACCTCATGACTGAAGGTACGCGGGTTCAAACCCGGCAGAGGTCGTGGAATTTTTAAGGGCAGAAAAATTCAGGGAACAAGTCCTCTGGGAGGGACTTTAAGCTGTGAGTCCCTTGTCGTAGATTTACGTCACATAAAAGATCCTCATGTCTCTAGGAGACCTCTGAGCAAAATTAGGCAACAATTTCCCGCCCAAGTAGTTTCCAATGCCTCTGGTAGATGGGGGAAATATCAGGTACGGAGGGCCGACCTCGTTGGCTGAATGGGGCTGATAGCACGCTCCAGTACCGGTAGGGTATGGTGACAGTAGAAATTAAAGGGGGATGCACAATGGACCAATAACTGTTCTAAGTGCATGGGGAAACCCACCCCCTCTAATAATAATAATAGGGTAGTCATATAAAGTAAGCTTATTATAATAAAACAAATGTGAGAAAAAAGAAGCATGAAAGCCTTACAAACTTTATTCAAAACTGAAAAATGGCCAGTCTTTATATAAGGTAAAAATCAATAAAAATCACAATTTCATTTTCTGTCATTCTATAATGACAGCTGTAAATACAAAGAATGTTTATGTTCAAATTTAAACCTAACACTGCATTCCAGTTTGCTTATAACTATAATACAAGCATTTAATTTTATATATATCTGGGAACAGTGTAAATGTGAAACAAAAGAATCTTTTACTCTTCCATACACTGCTGTTCATTACAACACATAGATAGGTACACAAAAACAAACACATATACATTTTAATAAAATTAACATTAGAAAGACCCTTCTTTAAACAAAACATTTGCTTCAGATGGCAGAGACAGCTGCCAATATAAGCTCTCACATCATTTCAGAACTGTAACTTCAGTAAAACACCAGACACTTACATCATTGGGCTGACTGGACCAGATTCCCTTTCCACAGCCTTGAATATGTTGGAAAGTTCATCAACTAGAGTCTCATAGCGATATGCTACTCGTATGTCAGGGACGTTTGTTCGAGTGATGTCGTTACCAGCTACACCTTCCTTGGTATAATTTGGTCCTAACCAATATTGCTTCATCTGTGGACAGGTTTAAAGAACCAACAAGATAGTAAGTTGAAAGCCTCAGATATGCAGAAGTTAAATTAATGATACAAAATAATTATATTTCTTCATGTGATGTCATTACCAATGACAAGTTCCTTGGTATAGTTTTGAGAATGACCTCTGAAGCTGAGACTTGTAGCTAAAAGTCATAAGACATTGTACATAATTTATAATAATTATCTGCAAGGTTGAGAGAGACTATATACTGTATTACTTTGAATTATTATATTATATTCAACACATCAAAATAAAAGCCAAAGAAAATTTTCGTACAGCCATATTGTTATTTTACATTCTAAAAAAATATTAGCCTAACAAAAGTTGCATATTTTCCACAGTCTGTTACCAAACATCATTTCAGGCCTGGTGGCACTCTTACCTCTAGAGGCTGAACATCCATCATGTTATTATAAGGGAGAGTCAGTAAATAGGTCACAAATGGATATGAAACGTAAAACATGTGATGTTGAAACCTGGAATAAACATGCATCTCTCAACATATCCTCCACCAACACTGATACACTTATCCCACTGCTTTAGCAATGTGTCAAAAACCCACAGCATAGGATTGTTCTCTCAGCCACCTAAACACCTGGTCAGGCATTATTTGTGACTTTTGAACGTCCTTGAGGGAATTTCTTGACCCAGTTGTGAACTGCTTTATATGACAAACCCTTCCCACCATGAACAGGAAACATTTCTTTATGAATATCCCTTGCATTGAGTGCTTTTCCCTACAGAAAATGCACAACACAATGTTGCTTTTCGCTAGTACACTCCTCGATCACAGTCAACATTTTGACTACTGAAACCAACCTCTGAACATTCGCATGCATGTCTGCTACCTAGTGATACAACTATTACGTCCATTACAGCTACTTTACTTCCATTTGTGACCTATGAAATGATTCTCCGTCATAGTAACTGTAGGCCATACACAGAAACATGAATGCATGTGCGTACAAACATGCTTGAAGATGCACTCGTACATACATACAGACAGAAGTGCATATTGACGTGTACAGACAAAACTGTGTGGGCACACAGACAGGCAGCATGGTGAGCTCTTAAGTCTATGTTCCTTTTTCTTTTTTTTTTGCGGGGGGGGGCTTAAGGAAAGAAAGTAGGCCAACATTCATTTTGAACTTTTATGAACATAGTCAGTACACTTATATGTATAAACCCATTAATCCTATTCACGTTTTTCAATTCTAAAACTCAAGGGAAATTCAGTAAAAACTGAATGGGTTATGTAAGAGAAAATCAATCTCATCTCTAGATATGCCCAAACGGTAAACAAGCTTTTTTCTAAAAGTATGACACAATATCTGTAAATTCACAATTCAGAAAAATCAAGAACCAACAAAAGCAAATATGATTTCAGTAATGCTAAATGACCATAATTGTAATCTTGAGGATGACAATTATGATAATGATGGTCTGCATGGTGGTAAGTACAGTAATGAATAATGATAATTATACTGTTCATATTAAAAATATTTCCTATGCATGCCTGACTTACTCCTGTGCTCATGCTCTGTGAGAGAACCCACTCATGAGGACACTGTCGTAAGAGCTCAGCTTCTACACATTGCTGCAACACAATTTATACAACCAACTTTCACATTCATATCTTGTTGGGGAAGTATCCTGAGGACAATGTTGCACGCAAACTCACCCATGTCCTATGTGCTGCAATACTATATTTATACAAGTGACTCTAGCACTCATACCTTGTGGGGAAATCCACTCATGAGGACACTGTTGCGGGCTAGCTCACACATGTCACATGAGCTCAATTTCCAAACCTGTGCTGCAATACTGTACTCCTCCATCAGAGGTTCCTGCAACATTGACATGCCACACTCTTAACATCAAAACATTTGTCAAGTATATAGAAAATGAAGTAACACTTAAGGAGGAGAAAAGTTTATTCTGAACCAGTACCAACAGCAGAAGCCTCAACAGCTCAGTTAGTACAGTGACTGGCTATGGGTTGGCTGACCAAGATTAATTTTGTGGTAGATGCAGGGAATTTCCTTTTGCCACTATGTCCAGACTGGTTCTGAGGACCAACAGCCCTTCACTTATGGGTACTGAGAATTCTTTTGAAAGGGATAAAGAAGCAGTTAACCTCAGTGTAGTACCAATGTTAGAATGTGTGCCATCATATTTCCATTCTCCCATAAACCTTGGTGATGTGCTCAATTAAGCACAGGGATTCCAATGTCAACACTTTCATGGTTCTTAATTAAGCACAGCGGCAATTTTAAGTTTTATGTATTCTTTTTAGCAAATAATTTATTTGAAACAAATGTTGTACAATGAAAAAATTGGCCTTATATACAGGAAAGCACAAGCAAATTAAAAAGCTGTTCAGGAAAAGTACTGGGAACCACAAAACACAGGCCAATAAAACAACATTGGAATGTACTGGACATGAACAGATTCTCTTTTGATGCTACTGCTGATGTGTAGAAACAGTCCAAAGTCGCTTACCTTTGTGAAGTGAAACTGTAGTGGGTCATCGGTGGAGAGACTGACAATCAGCCCACGGGCCAGATACTCAGGTAATGGGTTGCGATGGTAGTTGAGAAACAGAGAGTTGTTACTAAGGGGTGACATTGCAATGCCAATCTGTGCCAGATAGTACAGATACTGTAGCACAGGCACCTGAAATATACAAGGACTCAGTTGCTTTCAATACCTGAGCAGTTCAAAAAGTAAGGTAATACAGTTTTTGTGAAGACTCTAAATTGTACCATTACAACATTATACAAAATAGAGATACATATTTTACTACTTTTCAACATAGTCATCATGCCTATTAAGACACTGTCCACGAGATCAGATTATTCATACCCTAGCAATAGAAATCTGGACTCCACCCAACAGCCAATGATGCAGTAAAAGCACTTCAATACAGATGCTGACTTTCAACTTGCAGAGCACTGTTGGCAGCTGAGGTCAATGGAAGGGTGTGGATAACCTGATCTCATGGTGGGGCAAATGCCTTAACAGGAAAGGTGACTATGTCACAAAATAGTGTGATAGGGGTGTCTGAAATCCATGAAGCATCAGGAGGTTGGGACAACGTAAATATTATGGGATGCCCATTATTAAACAATGCTACATTGCACCAGCAGCCTGCAAAAAATGTATACACAACAGTCAGAACATTTTCAGAAACACTGTCACCCCAGTTCTCTTGAGGGGGTGTACAAGGAGCATGTGAAACCCTGAGAGCACTTCTGCTGCAGTGGAATGGCATGGCACTAAGAAGAAGAGTCATGCGTAGGGAAGTGCAGAGGTCAAGGGTCACCAGCAGGCAGTCAATTCCTAATAGCTGTAAATAGAAGGAAGTTATGTCTAATATACTGATATCCAAATGGAACCCAGTGTTTCCATTTCATATGACACAAGAGTAAAATAAGTGCCTTTGTCACAGTGAGCTGTCATAATCTTACAATTAAAAGCTTTTTCACAAAAACTGGGTTTTATTATTTTCAGATGCCCCTTGTCCTTAATAAATTACACTTCATGTTAAGAAAGTCGTCTTCTGGGTTTTGGCGCCAGGTATTCTTCGTTTTGATGTTTCGGAGGAACATATCACCTCTGTCTTCAGAGCAGGTGAATGGCTTGTGAATGCAGAGAGCAGTAGCTGTAATGATTAGGAAGTGAAAGGCGCTGCTTTATATAGGAAGTAGGCAGGGGGGGTGGTTAGGGAGAGCAGACCAATAGGAGCAGTGGAGAGCGATTAAGGCCATATATGGTGTTGGTGCTAAGGGGGACAAAGAACGGCCAGTGAATCCAGGAAACTGGAGGTCAATAGCACTTGGAGGTTGCGGTTAGACAAGAAGAACCGGTTGGCTGGGGACAGGCTACTGACGTCGACATGATTACAGGGGACAGGCTACTGACGTCAATGACATGACGAAGAACTGGGGTGGCTTGTTGGAGTTCTCTTGAGGGAAGAGATGAGAGGCTTCCATGACTTGTTGAGACAGAACCCTGTTTCTTTGTTCATGTCAGTAGCCTGTCCCCAGCCAACCAGTTCTTCTTGTCTAACCACAACCTCCAAGTGCTATTGACCTCCAGTTTCCTGGATTCACTGGCCGTTCTTTGTCCCCCTTAGCACCAACACCATATATGGCCTTAATCGCTCTCCACTGCTCCTATTGGTCTGCTCTCCCTAACCACCCCCCCTGCCTACTTCCTATATAAAGCAGTGCCTTTCACTTCCTAATCATTACAGCTACTGCTCTCTGCACTCAAAAGCCATTCACCTGCTCTGAAGCTGGAGGTGATACGTTCCTCCGAAACGTCAAAACGAAGAATACATGGCGCCAAAACCCAGAAGACGACTTTCTTCACAGTCATCGCCGTGAAAACCTCAAAACTTACACTTCATGTTGTTTACATACTATACCCCACCTTGCGCAGCAGCAGACCATGAGAGATGTTCTCAGCCATCATGAACCCACAAACGAGATGCTGAATAGGACCTGCCTCACCACAGTGTGGGCGCAACACAAATGTGTTCAATCCTTGTTCCCTTGTTCCATGAAATGTAAACAAACGGTTACAAAAGTGTCTTAGAAAAGCATTATGTAACTTTTCACTGAGAATGCACTTATGTTTACATGTAGATGACCATCTTCATTCTGAATGCCTGTCAGTTGCTGCTACTTGTGTTTATTTACTGCAAGTAAGGTGAGACTTTATGCTCCTTTCTGTAGGTCATTACATGTGTAAAAAGAAGTTGTTCCTCCATATGTATCTACTTGTTATGAGAAGGAAATCATTGGAAATATAAAAATTTACTCAAATTGTGAACTGATACTACGTCTGAATTTGGTCATGAGTTTTAATTATCAACTGTCCTAATAAAACTTATAAATTAATTTTTTCCTAATTTTCACATACTTAAACTGTGTGATATTTTATCCATGGTTGCTCATCATCAGGAGCACATCATAACATGAAACCATTTAATTACATGCACTGTAAGAATATCACATGTTACATAACTAGCTGATCTACCCAGTGTTGCCTGGGCAAATTGCACGTGTGTAATTTGTTGTAAGTGTTAATATACTGAAAAGTTGTAATGTTGATTTTGATGATACTAATATTAAGCATCAGCTGTAAGGAAATTAACTAACCCACTACAATTATGAACAGTGTGATGGTAGTCTACATGCTCAATTTAATAATCTGAATGCAGTGCTGCCAACCTCATAATTGCCACTTTTCATTCTATAATTATTCCAATGTTTAATAATACTAATTAATTTTCCCTTAACCACTTATATTTGAGTGTGGTCTTTGTAGTCAGTACAGTACTAATTGTAAAAGGTAAGGATATACTTTTCTACAACAAAATATAAATCCTCACCTTTCCAAATTTTCAAACTTTTAAAACTTGTTTATTTTGAAAATAAAAATGGAATATCTCAAAAACAGACATATGGAGTAAGAAGGACGATTTTTTGTTTCTCTCATCTCTACTGAACTAAAAAAAACCCTCAATGTTTTAGGATGAATGGTTCTAAAGTAATAAGCAAAAAACTGCTATGGAGGAGGGCTTAAAAATTTCTGGGCATATTTGAACTAAAACAATTGAGTTTTAAGTGTCCCAGTCCTGTGAAGGAGGTCTCCTACCACCATATATCACTTGGGAAAAATATATGGAATAATGTGAAAATGTGTACAGAACAGACTCACTTTTCTTTATATGTGGGTTACTTCAAAAGTCATGGCAACATAATTTTCTGAAATTTCGAAACCTCCAAATTTGTCGAGACAGCAACATGCCGCTAGATGATGTGGAAGTTCAGGGACAACGAAGCGAGTCCGGCGCAAAGTCAGTGTGATCATAACCTTCGTCGAGAATGAATGTTAGCCGGCTGGGACAGGGTTATTACATGAAAATAGCAGTGTTTCACAGCAGAAATGTGACTGAATGTCACTCAGAGCTTGTGGAAGCTCTGGGTGATCGTGCTCTACCACACAGAACTGTTGCAAGGTGGATAGAAGGATTCCAACGTGGAAGAGAAGCAAGTGCCAACTTGCAACATAGTGGACATCCTGTATCCGTTCCTACCGATGTTTCTCGTGCGGTGATCGCCCAGTGCATGGAGGAAGATAGTTGCTGGTCTCTGAAGAAGTTAGAGAGACATACAGGGATTGACAAGGCAACTGTGCATCGAATTTTAACAAACTCACATTGAATTTTTTGAGGATTAAAGAATGAAAAAAAAAACAGTCATTCTGTAATGTGCAATTTTTCTTGCCTACTATACTTACGCCCCTTCACATCTACCTGATCGGAGGGGTATATCATGCCCTTTCATAAGTAAATTTTTAACTTTCTTCACTGTAATGTGTTTGCCCCCAAAAAAATTAGTTGCCATGACTTTTGGAGTAACCCATGTAGATATACAAACACTGAGGAATCATCTGAGAGACTCCAGCACATCACTGAGCCACATGCATCTCATTCTTCTGCAGGTTCAATGTGTGCGCATGCATGTATCTGTATATAATATTCCTACAATGTGTTATTCGGTGGTTTCAAGACATTCCTTTATAATGAACAGATGGGTTCAAAACAGAAGGGAAAGGACATGAAAATTCATATTAATAGTAGTTATATTGGACACTTGATAATAAGGACTTCTGACATGAAATACAACAGTAATGACAGCAAGTTTAAGTAATTTCATAGTGTTTAACTAATTTTGAAAAAAGTTAGGAAAGGTAATATATATTAACTGACCTGAAAAAAGTGTTAATGTAAAGGAACAGTTTTTGTTTGTAAGGTCTTTGAAGCCCACTGCAATATCATTGGTTACTTGTATGTTATTGCCACTTCTCTTATCATGCATTACGTGTTATACAGTTATTGTTATTGTTATTGTAGACTTCTCTGTTACTGATTTATGAAGTTTTAACTTCTTGACAAAGAAATTAAAAGACACCTTCTTAAGCATCTCTCTGTCAAAGTTTGAGTCCTGTATGGAGTTTCAAGTTGTAAAGGAAAAACTTTCCACAGAATTCTGCACCTCCTTTCAGCAGAGCAGGACAGTATCTATTGCATGAACCTGTCAAATTTTTTACTTCTTCTACATGTGCAATGAATTGTAATGTTTCAAAATAATTCTCAAATTTACATGAAGATATTTCACCAGAAAAAAGTCAAAACAAAAATAAGTATTCAAATCAACATTATTGTGGCATTAATATTCATGACAATAGTTTGAACTGAAAAGGATATGAGAAATTTACCTGCGAAAGTGATTGAGCACAGTGAGGTTGGCATATGTGTAGTACTGATAGTAGGCATATGGTGGGTTCTCTTCATCACACCACTGTTCTGGCAGTGTCACATCCTTATCAAACAGTGGATTTTCTGGCTTACTCTCATCATCCACGGAATCAAACCCCACCACCTACATGCAACACAGACTTGAATTAATGATGGTATAGACATACATATGTGACATAAGCGACCTCCATGGTCTAGGGGTAACGTTCCCACCTCATGACTCAAGGTATGCGGGTTCAAACCTGGCGGAGGTCGTGGAATTTTTAAGGGTGGAAAAATTCAGGGAACAAGTCCTTTGGGAGGGACTTTAAGCTGTGGGTCCTGTGTCATAGATTTACGGCACGTAAAAGATCCTCATGTCTCTAGGAGACCTCTGAGCAAAATTGGGCAACAAGTTTCCCGCCCAAGTAGTTTCCAATGCCTCTGGTAGATGGGGGAAATATCAGGTACCGAGGGCCGCCCTCATTGGCTGAACAGGGCTGATAGCACACACCAGTACTGGAAGGGTATAGCGACAGTAGAAATTAAAGGAGGACGCACAATGGACCAATAACTGGTCTAAGTGCATGGGGAAACCCACCCCCTCTAATAATAATAATAATAATAATAATAATAATACACATGTGACATAACAAATCACTCACAGTAGTCCACTGTAGTAATATCTCAAAATACAAATGCTCTAGTTTAGAATTACTGTGGACCACTTTCTGAGAATTAATATAAAATAGATTGAGAAAATGATTAGTTATCAGCTATAAAGTTATTCTCATGTTTACTTTGCAAAACATTCAAGATTACCCTACATATTGGAATTATCTTACCTTTACATTGTATGATTGTGAAACATCTCTCACACTTTTGCATGCATATGTTTCCATCTTAAATGCAACTTATTATCTAGTCATCCTTTTTTCCCACTACATGTTTTGGTTATATACAGCCATCATCAGGTGTCTTTATCTTGCCAAAATTGTTGCACTGTATGTCAAAATTATGTATCGTGTGTGAACACGATATTTCCTAATTAAAATAAATTAACCTTAATGACAATCAATTAAAATTAATTAACATCCCAATGTTTTCCATGTGGTCATCGTCTGTCCTTTAAAAGATATCTGCTTGAGTGTCTACCTTTTTGGATTTATTTGTGTGGCATTCCCTTTGCAGCATGGGTCTTATGTGTGTTGTTTGTGCAGTTCATAAGGACGTTTATGTAATGTTATCAGTTTTGTTATGCATGCACAATTTGCTGTAGATATTATCTACATACACAGGCCAATTAACAACATAACTACTCTGGCAGCATGGAAGAACCTACAGCCAATGGTGCACACATAACAAAACTGATAACAACATTGCATAAATATCCTTATGAACTGCACAAACAACACATATAACACCCATGCTGCACAAATAAATCCAAAATGACACTCAAGCAAATATCTTTTAAACGAATGGATGACAACCACAATAAAAACACTGGGATGTCAGTTAATTTTGATATTTAATTGAGGTTAAGGTTAAAAGCACAATAGATCACTGTAGGTCGTGGTGCAAGGGCCAAGAAGGCCCACCCCTTATACATTCATTCATTCATAATTAAGGTTAATATAATTTAATTAGGAAAATACTATGTTCACACATAGTTTGACATATGGTGCAACAATTTTAGCAAGCCAGAACACACCTGATGATGGCTGTATATGGCCAAAACATGTAGTGAGGAGAAGGGCAATTAAATAATAATTTGCAATTAAGACAGAAATATACATGTGAAAATGATATACTAATGCAACAGGATGCTTAAATACAATATTATAATCTTTCACACTGGAGGGAAAACAAAAATAGCAAACAAATGAACACCAAGTGTTAAGATAAATATGTTGACTTATGATAGATTCAAGAAGTGGGAAGTGTAGGCTGTTATAAAGAACCTTAATTGTATGGTATTTCTGCACTCATTATGTGTGCTGTATATTTATTGGTATTGATCTATATATATACACGAGTATATATATGTCATGATGTATTCCAAATCCTACTATCATTTAACAAATCTTGGACCTAAGCAATGCTGGTTCCTGGACTAGGTCAAAAAAGAAATGCCAGCTTAATTTACTTAATTTTGGCTGCCATAATTTTCAAAATAGTCTCCTTGGGAACATACATAGTGATCCCATCATTCTTTCAATGCTTAAAAAGCACCATGGAAGTCATTTTCCTTAATGCTGTCAAGTACCGCTTGCTATTTCAAAATGTCGTCCCTTCAGTTTCATTTTCAATTTTGGAAACAAAGCAAAATCACAGGGACTAAGTCCAGCAAGTAGGGAGGATGGGGAATGATTGCCATGTTGTTGTTGGTCACAAACTCTGTGGTTTTCAGGTACATGTGGGTGGGCACATTGTAATAAAAGGAGCCAGCTGTGGTTGCGCCAAAGTTCCTGTCTTTCTCCTTGCACATTTTCTCTCAAGGGTCTCAAAACATCACAGTAAAAGTCAGAGTTGACTGTAGTGTGAGGAGAAACAAATTCACAGTGAACAATCCCCTTCACATCGAAAGGAAACAATAATGAGTATGCTCTTTTTTTAAACTCTGGACCTGCTGCGGCTTTTTTTGCTCTTGGTGACTGTGGGTTCTTCCACTGCAACAACTGTTGTTTTGTTTCTGGATCATAACTGTAAATCCAACTTTCGCCCATTATGATCCTAGAGTTAAAAATTAGGTCCTCGTTAGTCTTCTCTCATAGCTCAAGACACATGTTTACGCACCGCTGCTTTTGATCATTTGTCAAGAGTCAGGAAACAAACTTTGCGGCAGTATGGCACATGTTCAAATTTTCTGCTAAGCTCTCCTGCCAAACTCCATCACTGATCCCAACAGTGTCTGCAAGCTCACGGATTGTTCGGCAATGGTCTTCATGGACGAGTTCTTGAACTTTTTCAACATTTTCTGTCGTTTTGCTGGTGCTTGGTTGCTCTGAACTTTGTCATCTTCAACTGACACCCCACCAGCCTTGAAATGTGAATGCCATTCAAAAACCAGCTTACAGAATGTTCTCCAAAAGCCTCACAGAGTATTTCAAGGGTTTTGGTAGCAGATTTACTGGGCTTCACGCAGACATGTTGCTCAATTTTGCCAACCATCATAGACAAAATGAAACACAAAGTTGAAAAAGCACTCATAAAAACAATGCATGTTCACAGCCCAGTGTCACATGGCAGACTGATGCAGTAGGCTTGGGGAAGTTTGACCTTGGTCTCCCTTCTCATCTTCTTTCACGGAGGCAGTTACATCAATAACATTCCAGGAACTTTCCAATAGCACTTTGTATATACATGCTGCAAAGCATGCAACATAAATTAATAGAAATGGATGTTTCAATGAGTAACAGTGGTGTTTTTCTAAAAGACAGTAACATTTTAAACAGATTATTTGTGAGTCATGTATGAATAATGTGTTACAGTGACTTTACCTCCATTAAATATGAGATATTATTTTAATATTAAGGCGTAAAATTGTCAGATAAAAATTGGTCCTGGTGTCAGGTGTTATTATTAGTACTCACATACTGCAGAAACATGTGGAGTTCTGGGTGGCTTTTTGGATTGTTCGTCACTTCGAACAGTGGAAGAAAGATGTTGGTCAAGTACTCCTGGAAGTTATCCATCAGCTTGTTTGACTTGAAAATGTCACTGCATGGATCGAAGCACAGATCATTAATGCTATCTGCAAGATCTCAGATACATGTATAGTCCTTAGCGTCAAGCCATAGAGGAGATACAGATGTATAGTTCATTACCTTCAGCACTGGATGGAAAGTGCTACCCAAAGTGTTGGGTAGGCCCAGAAATCATTCAAAAAGTGGCAATGAAATGAAAAATACTAAACTCTTGCTGTTCAATGTGTGTGTGTGTTGTGTGTGCTGTGTATTATATGTATTGCAAATTATTTGTTTCACTGACTGAGCTATCATGGTTCATATTTCAAGCTATAATTAGATGGTTTTGTGCCATAAGAACATTAAAAAATATTGTTCTAAATATATAAGGCCAAAGGAAAAATCTGCAAAACAACTATATTCTTACTCTCTTAAACTGTACATCACTAATATTTGTGTTTCAGAGAGTGAATGGTAGATCAGTTAGCCTCAGATATTTCTGTGCTTGCATCCAGAGCCAAAGTCATCTCTCTTATAAATAAGGGTATGAACAGAGGTTATAAAAATGGGAATAACAGTATATAACCACATACACCAACAGCACAGCATAATCAGTAACAGCATGGAATATTTTTAGTTACATTTTAAACGGTACAGCTGAAAACTGAATTGTGTAAGATTGGTATTTCTGATTAATTACCATACCAGGATTCATACATCTTGATGTTTGGTGAGATGGTGAGAACCAATAGGGAGTTGCTGTGGCATTGCCAACATGTTATTCCACACACATGTGTGTAGTAGCAGCAGCATTAGGAAACTTGTATCAGAACAGACTATACAGCAACAGAACTAACTATTTTGTACGAATAAGTGAATAAAACATGAACATGTAATATAAGGAAATGACAACATATCACTCTAATAATGTGACTTTTTAATCCAGAGAAGCAGTTAACAGCACACTGGTGCTACCTTCACCTTCACCTTCACCTTCACCTTCACCAGGACTGCTGTTGTCACTGCTGTAGTCATCACTTTCACTGTCTTCTGTTTTGTTAAGTTGATCATGATTGGCTACAAAATTTTGTCACATCCTAGTTCTTTTGCATAGTCATCCTGCAGTTTTACAGCACAATGTACACAAGAAGCCCAGTCCACCTGTGTCACCTTGTCAAGCTCTTCATTGACAAGTCTTTCCACATCTGAAATTTTGAATGCTTTTTCTTTTTTTGCAACTTCCATTTCACTCAATCCTACACAAGTTTGACAGGGTTATACTGACAGTGATATGGACAGATTTGTATGACTTGATGGTCCCTTTCATTGGAAAGCTGGTCAAGTTTTTACTGTTTTGTATTGTTCCTAAAAGGGAGCACTTGTTGCAAAAGTAAGAGAGAAATAAATTCCTCTCTGTTGCAGCCACTAAGTGATATTTTGTTTTCTGCTAGAGTTATTAGGCACCTTGTTTAATGCAACCTAGTGGTGGGTCACATTGTCCATAATTATTATACTGTTCTCTTTGAAGTAATTAATAAATCTATTTAGAAACCAATGGGAGGTTATTTCTTCATGACAGTCATGTGTTGATTTAGAACTCCCACTTGCTCTCAGGTATGAAACCCATATTAGCCAATCTTGAATGGCAAACGATAAAAGATGGTTTCCTTTGTAAGATTTGAGGCTTTCACGGCAGTGACTATGAAGAAAGCAGTCTTCTGGGATTTGGCACCATGTATATGTGGTGTTAACCGACGTTTCAGAGGAACGTATCGCCTCCATTTTCAGGGTAGAAGAAAAAAAAAATATAAGGATCTGCAAGCAAAGAGACCGTGAGAACCGGTAAAAGCTCATGGTCTCTTTGCTTGCAGATCCTTATATTTTTTTATTCTACCCTGAAGATGGAGGCGATACGTTCCTCCGAAACGTCGGTTAACACCACATATACACAGTGCCAAATCCCAGAAGACTGCTTTCTTCATGGTTTCCTTTCTCTGCAGGACTCTAAGCCCCCATTCCTAGTGGAATTCTGATAAATATATGTAACTGTATGATTCTGATTCACCCAAGTTTCATCGAGGTGAGATACCTGTCGGTTATCACCAAATTCCCTATGGCTGTGCATTGTTCACAAATATTTCAACCTTGCCACATCATCTCGCTTCCTGAGGAATTTATGTACATACTTCCCTGGTCTTGAGCTCATTTTTTGTGTTACAAAGACCAAAGAGGCCAACTGGTGTGATGTGAAATAACACACAGTTCCCCAAAGTCTGGATGAGATGAATAAAAAAGAGGTCCACCCTTTTTATCTGATATGAAAAAAATTGAAAGCTTGCATAAGACAACACAGATTGCTTAGAAAGCTGGAAACAAGCGACTGAGTCTTTTGGAAACTATGCTTCATCAAATACAAAATCAATCTTAGACTGTATCATGAATGCATTGTCCAAGAAGTGGTATAAAAATTACAACTGCATTGGATAAATATAAGCAACGATTAAAAGAAAAGCCATAAATTGCTAACCACATGTGCTATAAAAGTGGTGTTTGCTCCTACGCATTAAAGGAAAAAAACCATGACCATTCACCTAATTTTAAAATTCGCTTAGTGGTGGGTGGAGTCCAACTGGGTCCACTTCGCACGGCGGCCACTGATTGGCCTATTGTACCTGCCCCAGATGATTACGATGGAGAATTTGGTGGAATGAAGATTGGCAGGGGAAACCAAAGTACTCAGAGAAAACCTGCCCCAGCGCCACTTTGTCCACCACAAATCCCACTTGACCACACCTGGGATCAAACCCGGGCCGCCGTGGTGGGGAAGCCAGCGACTAACCACTTGAGCTATGGTGTGGCCAATGACCACTCATCGAAGTATGTGTTTTGTCTGAATTCATGAAAAGTTTGTACGACTGCACATATTTCATTTGAAACTCACAGCAGTGAACTTACATCAAGATTTGAATCCTGGCATAAGAGAATTACAATTACAGAACTCCTTCATAAATATGACAGACTATTTGATCAGACATGGCATCTGTTTTATAGTTTCCCACATCTGATATGTGGTCTCAAGAAGATACTGATGGAACCCTGCACTATACCAAGCAAACAATAATCTTCAACAGAAAAATGTGTGAAGCACTGGATGCACACTAGAGAACTGAATTCTGGTTCACAGTATATCCCAGTATTTTACTTTTGTATTTCTGTGATTAACACTGAATTAACTGGATGTAAAGAACTTTCAGATATTTAATTTTGGTAAAAATTTACCTTTTCTAGGCTAGCAGTTATGTAAAATGTAACTTCAGAGCCACAGGTTTCAGTGAGAGAGAGATGTTAGGCATCAGGACACTGTTTCTGTGACTGTAACTGCTTCTCCTATTTCACACATAATTCACCATTCTGCCTAACAGTGCATCGTTTCTGTTACTTACAACAGACGTGGAACCTGAATTAGCCAGCGCACATTGTCAGAGTACACATCTCCTTCTATCGCCCACTTTGCCAGTTTATCCCATTCCTCAGGGACTTTCCCGTAGACAGACAACCGTAACTCTGCATTCTGGTATTTGCTTTCCTCCAGATCTGACGAAACCTCCTACCAATTAATCACAATACGCACAATACAACCAGTCCATATACATCTCATGCTAACAAGTTCTATGAAAATATATAATACCTATTTTTCTTTAAGCTAGTCATTCTGTACACACATGCTAAAAAGATAATAAATTAATAATTCCACAAATTAGGACTGTCTTTGTGCAAAATATGATTATAACCTCTAAGTTTCAAACCACTGCCACATTTGCAATTTGTAATGCAAAATAGTTTGTAGATATGTTTATGATCTATAACCATACAAAATTTCATTATGTTTCTAGCAAACAAAAGTACTAACAGATTTGGTTTAATTACAACTGCTCTTTCCATTCATTATACAACACACCTCAAAAGAAATTAAATATTTTGTTAGTGGTGATCTATAAAGACACAAAATTTCAGTATCCTATGATATTCAGATGTGTCACTCCCAGCTGAAATGTTCAGATGAATATTGTGTTAACATTACTGTTCATAGAGAAATAAAAGGTATGAAGTTGAGTTGTGAAATATGATAACAGTTTTCCCAAAAATTAAGACACTAGGTAAAACATTATTAAGGGACTCGCCAACTTCTTTATCTATTTAATTTAGTTGAAACTTCTTAAAAGGAAGTGGCTTGAACATTTAAAGGGTTCACACCTCACACCTAAAATCTGTTAAAACAAAGACAGACACAAAGTGATAACCTATCAAAATAGTGAATTTGGCCTGCATAACTATGAGAATATTATCATCACATACCTTGATTATTCTGGCAAAATATTTTCCATTTAGGTAGTTGTCTGTCTTGAGAAATACTTCACGTAGTCTGCTCTCACCAATAGGATTGTATTTGGCATTGAACTTATCAAAACGATGGAATGTGTTACGGTCCTGCAAAATACATTTTTATACTTTTACATTTTAATACGTTAATTACATTTACCTGACTACTACTCAAGAAGAAGCAAGTCTGCTAATAACTTGAAATAACCACAAAGTCAGTGTTACTCTGTCCAATGCCTTTAAAGTTAATTTCTCACTGATTATGGCTTTGTGATGTATTAAAACATCCAGAGAGCTTTCAAAAGAAACACACCAAAAAGAACACCTTGTACAGGGATAGAAAGTGTTCAAGTTATGAAATCTGTCAGCATGTAGCATCTAACAGACTATGAAAGCAAATATATATGCACTGAATGTGATGATTTGGTTCCCTGCTTCAAGCAACTATACATTCAAAAAGCATTTTGAAAAGACAGCAAATTCATGTCATGTAGTGTATGTGTAGTGTAGTGTATGGAGGAACTGTTTTGGAAGAGACAGATTACTGATGATGATGAGTGTATGTAGAACTTTATTTATTTTATAACTGAGCCATTTTGGCGTGCATCATAAGAATCTAGTCTCAGCAGCATGAATCTTTCAGACTACTAAATAAACAGAGTGTTCCTAGTACATATATGAATTATTACTTATAAAGTGAACTGTCCTAGCAGTCATTCAATCTGTTATTTCATTTTGAGAAGCCTCCATAATAAACATGGAATGTTAATCTCCTATTATTTATAGTGAAGGCAGCAGCAACAGTGACCTTCCACTATGGGATTATTTTATAAACATTCACTTGAAGTGTGACAGAATAGAGCCCAGATGCATATGTACTCCAGGGTTGACGCAAAACACTCAATATACAGAGTAAAGAAAGACAGTGTGATCCTTCGTACCATATCCCTTATATATGGAGATTATTGAACAGTCTGCTGCAAGTCATTAAGCCAGTCTGTGGGAAGGGAAACAGCTCCTGGCCTGGTTCTGACCCTCAGCAAAATCAACAAGTCAAAACTAAAACCTGCACTAATCAAAGCAGCTGCTAGAAATACTCAGTTATTATGTGCACATTCCTAGAACCTGGGTTAAACTGTTCAAATTCACACAGAAGTTCGGTTTTGTTAACATAACAAACTTGAAACTTGAGACATAAAATTTTGAACCCCAATGTCCTTTGCAAGCGTCTAGAGATTTTTGAAAGGAATGTTAAAATGTAGAACTGATTTCATCCATTTTCTTTCAGCGAGCACTCAGTGTTTTAATGCAGCTCATTGTCTGATAATGACCAGTAAGCCTAAATTTGTTTGCATCTGTATGAATAGTATTCTCTGTTTGTAACTGTAACATCCTGAATTTTAGGCTAAAATCTTCTTGTTACTTTCAACACAAATCATATACACTCACAGATCATACACATTCATTTCAATGCATAGGTCTTACATGTCATTTTGATATCAGAAGTGACTAACAATGTTAAAATAGACTTGCAAGGGCTTGGATTTACAGTTGACAAGCTTCATGGTAGCTCTTCCAAGATTTATTAGGTTATAATGAAAATAAATTGTACTTTACTGTCAATTATGCTAATAAGAGTCCAACTGTATGCTATCTGAGATTACACTGGCCAGGCCAAATGATCTGAACCAGGTTCTCAGATATTCTCGAGTACTTTATATACCAGTAATATCTTTACATTCATAATTCATACTTGTAACGTCTTTCCATTAGAACATACTAACATGAATCCAATTGACATGGTATGAATAACAGGTGATTACTTTTAAATTATAAGTATACTTTTAGTGAGAAACAAACACTAATATGCATGTGAAGATTGTCATAAATAATTTTTCACCTGCTTTTTGTCTTGTTTATTGAAACATCACTTTTTAATTAAAGTAATGCACCACATAATTTGAGAGTCTTAAAACACTGTGGCTTTAGCAAAAATCTGGGCATTTAACACATTCGTGACTCATTTTAAATGCTAGAGTTTTAAGCACAGGGTTGGGGTTTTGCACTACCTGAAGTAAGAAAATAATTTGGAATTATTGGGTTTCAGACTTTGTCCATTGTCCAGTATTTTAGAAATCACTAGAGAACACAATAATGGATTAGGGACAAGGTCCAAAAACCCAGTAATTCTGAGTAATAATTATCATCAGAACCATTTAGAATCTAAAATAGAATTATATACTACAAATGCCAGAGAGGAAAAAGCAAAATATCACACAAACTTCAGCAGACTCTGAGTGTGCAGTACCATGTGTATCACCCTTCAGGATGCACAGGACTCAATACAGAGGATATGAAAGTCTTCCTGTTCCTTTTAGTTACTTTGTACAACATTTTGTTGGGTATTTATTGTGTTACATACTGAAATTTTATAAAGTTTCTAGTTTCCCATTCAAGGACATATCATATCATTCTTGGGCATGGGAGTGACTGTACAGGTTGAGAATTTGCATCATGATCAGTAGGGCTCGGATTTCTATGACATGTCATATTTTTATCCTGGCATCTTTTCACATGTATAATTAAACATAAACACATTTCTGACTCTTGTGAACACGAAAATACGGTTTTTATTGGTCATATAAATGCATATTTGAACCATATTTTAGCTTTAGGTCATATTTGGGCCCAAAGTGATATAAAATCATATTTTTGGTCATATTTTAGGCGAATTTCACTTATTGCTCAGAAATATATTTGCAAGTATTGGCAACGATGTTATTTGGAACTTCATTTCTTAGAAATATTTGGCCTTGTGTAACGGGATTTGAAGGAATACTGTACAGTGTGAAGGGTAACGGTTCTTGACCTGGCGTAGAATCAACCACTTTGAAAAGAGAAATTGCCACCTCTGCCTCTGTCTGTCTGT